ATTTCACTGTCCCCACTACTCACATAGAACAGTGGTTACACCTGTCACCAGAATCAACTCTTTTTTTTATTTTGCTTTATTTTTACATATAAATGCTATTTTAATGGTGATGACGATGACGATTTAATAAAGTAGTAATCTTAATTTAAATAATTATTTATGTATGAAATACGCCCCAATAACTTCAGTGGACGTAGAACGATAATTTTCTATGTACATAAATATTTTGAGCCCGAACCGTCAACGTTTTTAAAACATGGTTTTTTATATGAATTTTTATTTTAATACAAATTAGTCAAATCAACTGAAATCTGTTTAATTTTGTAGTAAATTTTGTAAATGCTTATTATAAAAATTAAATTTTTTTTTTTTTTGCCTTTTTACACATTTTAAATGATTTTTATCGGTTATATTGTCTTAAAATATGAACCCTACTAATAAGTAATAAATGATAACCAAAATAATTTTTTATTTTATTACATATATTCTACTCCCCCCTGCCAGAAAGGTCTGCGCACGCTTATGTAAATACCTGTAATACCGAATAATTCGTTGAAATATTTAATAGTTTTGTACAATAATACAAAAACAAATTTTTTTTTAACGCTCAGTTATTCGAATTATGTTTTTGCTCTCTCGATATTTCGAACTACTCAGCAATTCGAACTCTAGGTAATTCGAAATTTTTTAACAGTTTCACCAATTTCGAATTATCGAGAGTTGATTACGTTTGGTGAATATCGATAGCACAATGATCTTATTATAATATTTAATAATATTTTTTTGCAGTTATTTGTCAGCAGTGTGGTTATTACGTCGAAACAGTGGTTTCAAAAATTTTTAAACCATACAGAAATTAAAACAAAAGAAAAAGTATTGTTTGCAAACAAGTTACTTATACCCATAACAATAAGATCCGGCGTACCTGACTAATATCTACAATGTAGATTCTACATTATATATATATTTTTTTAATTTATTTTATAATTAAATTCTCATTTTTTTATCATTAAAATATTGTAATAATTTTTACATTTTTTTTTTTTTTTTATTATTAAGTTCGTTGTACGTATTAATGGTCGAAAAGACAATTGTAATTTGTAACGCAAGGTCTTGAGAAACTATACGGATGATTAGACCGGGAAATAAAATACGGTCCTGAGTTTAGATCGGTAATGTAATGTGCAATGCTATTCTGGGGATAATATTCAAGGTACTTATGCACATTAAAATTGTCATTACTTTTTAACGAGTACACTGTCGACTTTTGCACGCTCACGATTCCGTTTTATGAACGCACTCGTAAGTAAAACGGTTTTTTAAAATTTTAATCCGTTCAGTTTTGTCTATAGTGTTGACATCTGAAATTATACGCGTTATCTCATAAATCATAATAAATAGACTACCCAAAATCGTCGCTCACGGTCATCCCGTCCCGTCTTTTAAAATTATTGATTTGGTAGTATTTAAAACATAAACGGCTGCGAGCCGGTAATAATATTGCATTATTAGGCGTATATTCCAAGTCCACGGCCGGATTTCATAAACAAATCTATATATAATGATCTCGGAAGTGTATTCTTTCAAAAACAAAAAAAATAAATAAATAGAAATAGATAATAATAATCATTCAAATCGGTGCGTCGGAATTTGTCAAAATCGGTTAAACACGCCGTGTCGCATTTAGCGTATATTTTGCGTTATGGGCTTTTCGCGTTTTTCGAGAGGAACGTGTCTTAACCGTTTATATTTGCCGTAATTTTTGTAATTGTTAATTGTTTTGCGATCAATGTCTGTAAATGCACAGACGATGTCAATTGTTGTTGTTTTTTTTTTTGCAATAGTTTTGGCAACGCGAAAGCGGAAATTTTTATAAGGATAAGCATTGTTAGTTTAATAGCCGTACTTAATAATAATAATACACCAGCAGTAATCGGGATGTAATTTGGTTATTTTTGTCGATTATTAATAATTATTAAAAAAAAATTATAATAATAATGGATACTTAGCCATAAACGCCGTCGTGGAAATTATGTGTTTTTTAAACTACAGACGAGCACATGTTTACTTGCAACCATTATAGTAGGTACATGATGGTTCGATAATTGCCAGTCATTTTATGACGTACTCGAATATTTGTTTCGACGGTACAAAATTCAGTTAAAATTTCTACCTAACCATTTACATGTATAATTCTGTTTTTTTAAAAAAAAATAAAACACGCGAGCGATATGTGTAATTTGCACTATACAACAAATACCAAGAGATAAAAACAATGATAATATATTTATGTTTGCGTAAACTAAATGAAAATACCGTTTGAATGTTGTTTTAACGTTAAAACATCGACAATTTATCAATAGAAAACAATAATAATATATTTATGAGAGGTACTTTTGAGAATGATCCAAAGTGAAATCTGAATGATATTCATACGGTAATATGACAATAATTATTAGGTATATTATAGGCGTGTATATACAGGATTTACCATATAGAAAATCGATTGACAAAAGCGGTGTATGTTAGTACCGAAATCGGCGGTAAACACTTAAATTTTGGCTACGTCATTAAACTCATTTAAGTATTCTACCATTGCACATTTAACAAGACTGCATGTTGAATACTAAAATGTATTATTGTGTTAATCTGTATCATGGTTTTCATCCCGCTGCAACGCTTAGCGCAATTGAAACATGTTGTCGTATTATAAAAACTAATAACAAATGCAAACGATTGGGTAAAATGAACTTGACCTCGGTATTTGACATTTAGGAGTTTTCGACTTTAACGGTAGTATAAAGGAGTTAAGGGGACTGCGCGAACTGTTTTTTCCTCGAAAACATTTTTTACAGGATCGACTCTCCTGCATCTTAGAGTGGCGCAATTTCGATTATCTTTTTATGCTTGAAAAAATGAAGACTTCTTACCATCGGACTCGAATTTTGGTAATTATATTCCCGAACGCTATAATTAGTTGAATATAACAATGTTTTTACTTTTTTAAAATCAATTTTTTTATAATTGTCGGTTACATAATCAAGTTCAATGAACCCTGTAGGAAGTTGTTCTCTTTCCAATAAAATGAAAAACTATCGAACTTGGACACTTCTACGGGGTAATAGAGTTAATCCTCTTAACCACGTTTTGAGCAAAACAATACGTTGTGTGCAGGCTTCTCAATACAAAACAGATCTCTAGTTGCGACAATATAAATTTAATGTTTGATGTAGGTACTCGAGAAATATTTTCGTTTAATCGCTAAAGGCTAAACAATTATTTTTGTTTTTATATTAATATTTTATCATTTACAATTTTATTGACCATAAAATGTTATTACTTCAAAATAAACGTGCGTTTTTTTATTTTTATTTTGTATTGTATATGTTAACTTTTATTTTATACAATTGCAGTGCTTATACCAATATAGGTTATCATTATATATTGATATAATATGTATATTGTATACTAATTATTAATATTATATAATAATAGGAATTCACCTGAATAATCTTTTCTAATCGAATTGCTTTTGATAAATTTTACAAAAAAAATCGAGTGTCGACCTTCGATATAATATTATTTATACAATATACAATGTGATATAATGTGATTTATTCAAATAGATGATATAGGTACTTGAGTTTAGTAAACCTATTTATTTAGGTAAAAATTAATAATAAAACAAAAGAGCAACTTTATATTAGGTATATAAGACTAGTCCTATCGTATGCTGATGCAACTTGGGTAACGACGAAAGGTGACGAAGAAAAGCTCCTAAGATTCGAAAAGAAAATATTGAAGAGAATACATGACCCAATAAAATATAATCAAGGGGAACAAAAATGGGAAATAAGACTAAACAATCAACTAAGTACAATTTATTAAAGAGAAAATGTGGTTCTGTTCGTTAGAAGCACAAGATTAGAATGGATAGGGCATGTTTGAAGAGCAGATGGAAGATTAATGAATAGTATAGAATCATAAACGAAGAACTGGAAGGGACGAGATCACGGGAGAGACCATACCGAAGATTGATGGCCGGTGTATGGGAGACTATGGCGGAACTTACGCAATCAAAAGGAATAAACTGGAACATATCAAAGAGGAAAATGGAAAGAATAAGTCTCAACAGCGAAAAGCCTGAATGTCTTATAAAGCTAAAAAAAAAAATTAATAAATATTAATTTTAGTTTTGTAGGTACCTGAAAAATATATTTTTCGAATCATTTAACGACCATTATATTATATATATATTTTATAATTTCGATAAATTCAAAATCGTATATAAAATAACAGAGCAAAATAAAAAATGAAAATAAAGACTAATTTTGCAGATAATATAAAATTGATATTTTGTTAAACAATGAATCGTTTCGTCTCCTTTTTTTAATAGATTTATAACTTGATAATAATGTCAAAATGAATGCTATACATTTTCCAATGAGTTATAAATTTGAACTTAAAAATACATTTTAAGATATTATAAAATATTATTTCATTAGTGATTATTACTGCACGTATATACATTTACGTCATTGGCGGAACAGCTAGTATATAGTTTATTATGTATTAAAACACCCTGTACATATAGGAAGATGATTAACATTGTAATATTATGTGTTACGTACTAGAAATTCGTACACAATTTACTATATTTATTATAAATCGTAAACATTGCAAAAACAAAATGAAATCCTTTTAACATGAACTGAACAATTTACATAGAGGTACTATTTTATAATTTCATTAGTGAGTAATTTATAAAATATATGAAAATCGATAAAAATTGTATAACGCTTTATAGTGTTGTAATAGAGAAAAATCAATAATTCATTATTCAGCTGACGATCCGAAAATTCTATCGGTTCTAAATGTTAGTTTAGAACATTAGAACATGTCTAGAATGTTCTAAATGTCTTTTCCTTAAAACGATACTTATGGTCATTGGTTAACCGTATATTTTATTATTATAATATGTTTTAAAAAGGTCTTTCAAAATGTACGAGCCGGAAACGAGTTATGATGAATTTCTAAAGAAAGAAATGGAGAAGCATCCAGAATTGAATTTGAATGATATCGAATTGTTGAAGAAACAAGTCGAAGCTAATAAAGAGTTACCTCTTATAAATGGTACGATTTTTAATTCCAACGCGATTCGAGAATGTTTTTCTAATATTTCAACTGCACTTGTTTAACATCACTGTAAAAAAAAAAAAAATAAACAGTTAATTTAAATTTAATATAATTTTATGTTTTTTTGTTGTTTTACTATTTCAGAGAAATTTCTAATCATATTTCTGCACGGTAGTTATTTTATTGTAGAAAATGCGTATAAGACTATCGTTGCAAATTACAGATACCGCAAAGAACTGCCACAGATATTCTCAAAGTTTGATCCGTCGGCCGCAGAAATGAAAAAAGTATTCGAAACAGTGTAAGCAAATTCGATTTTTTATAATTTTACAAAATCTGAATCAATACGTTTTATTTTAATACAAAGTCTCGCGTGATTAGGGGACATCAATTTTAATGATGACGACGAATATTCAAAAACGTTTTCGATTATATTTCTCTTTGCGTGGTAGACAAAAATACATACATTTTTTTAGTGTCAATATTCTTTGCACGCATTTTTCGTCTATAATCGCCCGAGTAAATAGTACGATTCATTATTGTTTTTAGTTTTTTAATTTAAATTTTTTCTAGGTCCTTAAGCGTAGTGACGCAACCGTGTTCCTCAAACACAGAGCGAATCATATACACCAGCTTGAAGACGCCCAATGCTACAAATTATGACTTTGTGGAAGTTTCTAAATATTTAGTTATGATGATGGAATACTTAATAATCAGAAACGGTACGTTCGACGGAGTGATATTGGCGATGAATAGCAAAGACTTCAGTTTACGACATATCTCCAAGACACCGATACGCGTGTTGAAAAGATTACTCGGGTTTATACAAGTACGTAAGCCGGTAAAAACTCGTTTTATTTCTATAGGTTCATTTCCGGGATTGTTTAAAATTTGAATTAACCGTATTAAAACTGCGCAGGTACCTAGTAAAATTATTAATTAAAAATTCAAACACTACAACAGTACTCATTTTATCAACATTGCATCTGATTATATTTTTTTATAGTATTCCTTAGAATTTATTAAAAAAAAAACAAAAATAAATTATAACGCAGATTGTGTCATATAACACTCCTTAATGAGAACTAAGGTTTTTTATTTTGTTGCTACAAACAATTTTATACAAACCATTCTAATAATTTGAATAGTTTTTTAAAATTTTTTTTCTATAATCATTAAGATACTTACATTTTACTTGACTGTGGGAACTTTTGGCGTATTGATTATATAGTTATTATCCTATAGCTATAATTAAATTATTTAACACGTTCGTTATGTACCTAAAAATTAAAGCGCTGTTTTAAAATATATATATATATATATATATGTTAAATTTTTACACAAGGCAAAACAAAATTGCTTTATTTATTGATAATTTTAAATTCATAATAATTTTCAGAAACTATCTACACATTTTTTTGTTTTTCGTTTAAAGGAAGCGCTGCCGATACGACTGAAACAAGTACACATCTTAGATGCCGGAATGGTAGCAACTACGATGTTTAATATAGCGAAACCATTTTTAAAAGGACCGTTAATTGCAATGGTAAGTATCACTCGATGCGTACGGAAATACATAATCACATTCTTACAATTGTTTAGCAATTCAGTACTATGGTTCGAATACTATGAATTCTATCACTGTCGTCAACGTATAATAATAATAATATGTATTTATTAATCGAACGCAATGTCTATAAATTAAACATGCATAATAATATATTACTTTGTATAAGAAACATACACACAATTTTAATATATAATCACGTACTTGTATTGGATTTTTAAGTTGCAAATGTACCCCGAGAATTCGGAAGAAGTTTTCGAAAACCTACCGGTCGACATAATGCCGTCAGAAATCGGAGGAAAAGGAAAATCGCATTATGAGTATTGCGGTAATTAAATAATTATTTATTACAATTTAAATTTAGGAAAATAAATAATAATCGAAAAAGTAATCATCATGAAGTTGGCCTCCCCACTCTGTCCGTTTGACTTCAAAATACCACTAAATAATTGCAAATTGAGTTTTGCTAATTGCAAATTATCCAGTTTTGAGTAAAATCTAATTCAATATTGGGGGGGCCAACTTCATGTAGCCCCCCATTTTGTCCGATTGACTTAAAAATACCAAAAAATAATTGTAAATTAATTACAAATAATTGCAAATCGAGTTTCGCTAATCGCAAATCTTTTTTATATTTTTTACGAATTTTTCAATTTTTTGAACGAACGTGGATTGAGAACAGTCAAAATATGATCGGTTCGCGCATGCGCATAATACATTTTCATTCTCTCTACTCGTATAAATATGTTGCATTCTTTATGGTTAGAGCCTAGAATTATAAAATGCGTTTGAAATCTGGGCGTTTGACATCAAACTGTTTTCATTGTATTTTGCATATCGATGCCATAATTGAAAGGTTAAGGTATTTTTGGTTATTATATAAAAAATAATAATAATTTCCATATTTTATATACTCTTTATAAATAAATAAAGTATTTCCTCTTTTATCATTATTTTTTACTATAAACACGAGAATTAATATGTTGAACATCAACTTATTAATTTAAAAGTTCAGATTATTATCAATAAATTGTTTGTAAATGAAAATTATATTTTTAATATCAAATTGCTATCAAAGAAACTAAATAATTATATAGGTACTATGTACCATGGTTTATGATAGACTTTTGGATGACCTACTTGGCTAATCTTTTTTGAACGCTGATTAATTTGGTACACATTCATTTTTAAAGTCTTTACCTAATACGTATTTTTAATATTTTTGTGCATATATTATTGTTGCATATTTCTTAATTTTCATTACGCATTATATTTAGGTATTTAGCTGCTTTTTAGTACATATAATTCCGGATTATTATAGTCATGGTTCATCGATGTGTTGTGCGGCGTCGTCTTGTCGGGTGGGTGGGTGGAAGTCGTTTTCCAAATATTCATGATAAATCGGATCGTCTTCAATAATAGAGTACTAATTTTATCAATAACACTCGAAAATTTTTTCGATTCAATTGTTATGTAACTGTTCAACATCGATAGGTGGTCGAAATTTCAATAAACAATAAATTATAAATACCTTATATCGCTTAAAATAATTATATTCTGTACGTGATTCTACATAACAATAATAGATTTTTCTGTGTTTCTGTTGTTGAAAATTTTGTAAAAAATATAAAAAAAAGATTTGCAATTAGCGAAACTTGATTTGCAATTATTTGGTGGTATTTTAAAGTCGAACGGACAAAGTGGGGGGTCGACATCATGAGGGTGAAAAAGTATAGATTCAATTTTCATTTTTTTCATTTTACAGAAGAAATATACAAGAACATGATCTCTCATCGCGAATGGTTTTTGTCACTGGATTGATATTTCCGTATAATAACTTCGGTATACCTAATGAAGTGACGTAGTTACATAGGGACTTAGACGTTAAGATGTTCGCAATGATGTGCGCTATTGAAGGTTCTATTCAATTCGTAATTTCAAATGCGAATTTGACCGATTATCTATTATTAAACACAAAACAAACATCATTATATAACCTTCAAATCCGTTTTATTACAGCATGTGAAATATATGTGGATTTTAAACTTTGATACGTATGAAATATGTTTATTATTAATATTATTTAACCCAAAGAAATTGTACAAGCTAATTAAAATGAGATGTTGTAGGTATCCGTTTTTATGTTGGTATAATTATAATTATAAATTAGTATTAACACATTGTTTTATTGTATTTATTTATTTATCATTTCAAATAAAAAAACATAAACCGGTTTGATCATAATAAAACAATGCAATTGAACTCTAATGTAATATGTATCTATAGTGCAAGTTGTATAACATGACGTTTGAAAATCACTCGAGTGTATACTATACACTCTACCATAGACACCCACAGGAAATTTATTAGAGAGGGGCATTATAAAATAAAACACTAAAAAGTACATAAAATAAAATTATATTTGACATTTTGAAATCCAGAACCGTAAACTCCCACAAATTTTCCCCGTCTTGCCTCATCCTCTTTCGGGCGCCTATACACCCTACGTTTTGTGACAAACGCATGGGTTCAATATATATTTAACTTTTTAGATTTTGAGCGTATACGAGCTATAGCGAGGTACGTATATTGGTGTTATTAAAATGCGTGGTAATACCTTTATTTTTAATTTTTTGTGTCTGTAAAAACTTTTTTATTTACTTTATTAACTTTTTCTACCACAAATCTTATTACAATTAAAACAAAACACATGAAAACTGTTTTTTTGCATTTTGGATTTTGTTGATGTATTGAGTAGTCATATTTTATTCCTTGTAGTTTTCCTTATAGTTTGAAAAAACGGGCAAATATACAGTTTCGTTATATTCGATTTTCTATTTTTGTTGTAATTCAGTTAAAAATAATCGTAGATATATAAAATAGAAAACTTAATATGTTAGCATTATCATATAATTTCAGGTATCTTACCTTCCAAACTTCCCACATACAAAAGTGATGCACCGAGGTTAGTGCGCAAGATTTCTTTATGGGGGAGGGTAATAAATAAATCATACAATAACTACATCAAAATTATTAATAAAATGAAAAGTTAAAAAGATAACCTAATTTTAATTGCCGATTTCATACTTGTGTTATGTTTCAGTAGTTTTATAGAAGTTAACTATTGTTTTTAATTCGATAAAATCAATATCTAAACGTTAATAAGGAAAAAATCAGGGAAAAAAGTTGATGCAAGGGTTTTGAACCCCCACCCTTTCTTAAGCAGAGACCCTCGCACACCCATCATCAGTATCAGCTCTTTTGTTTATTTATTTGTTATATAGTTTTTGCCCTTCGTTTGATAATACTATTTACATTATATAAGAATGAAAGTCACAGATTGTAAATTTATTTTTATAAGTTTTTGTTATAATAATAAAAAAGTTTATTAATGTTAACACCCTATTTCAAATGTATATTTATATTAAATTCAAATGCATGTCGTTGCTATAATAATACCGATGTTGGGTAAATGTTATTTGAATAGTTTTTTTTTTTTTTTTATTGAGATCGAAATGATACGATTTACAAGAGTATACATTAGTAGTGTACATGTAGTATTATGTTTTAATATTATAGATTCCGAGTGTAGCAATGAGGCTATATTTATTTTACTAATATGTGTTTTTTTTTAATAAATTTTCCAGTTAGGTAGTAAAAATGATTATATTTGTTCACGTTTGATTTGAATTGAAGGTGAAGATTTTTCGTTCGATGGTATTTAATTTGAAAAAAAAAAGTTTATAACTGTCTTTGGTGATTTTTATATGAAATTTTTAATATTTTAACTTCATAATAATAATAATAATAATAATAAATTACCGCATATTTATACAGAAAAATTAATTTTTTCTCGCCATTTCTATGAGAATAGAATCAAAAGTACTCTATGTACTCTATGTACTACCTTACATTATTACTTATGTGTATTGTGAACATTTAACATAATATAGATACTTTGATGTGAACAATACATTTTTTGTAGGTAGGTGTATTCGAAAACCGACGTTAAATTTAAGCCATAATGATAATATAATCACGACAATTATGTGTTGACCTTGCCCTTCTCCAAGGTATACTCGATGCCGGACTGTCGCCGTATACTCGTAGTTCTGCATAAATATTACGTATCTTGCATAGCAAGTTTTATTTGTCGTTGCAGAAGGATACTGATACCATTTGACATACGATATTTACTCGGCACTCGCAGCGGTATGTTCGCATGAAAACCGCATAGTAGTTCGGCCATAACATCATATTTACCTCATCTATCATTTGTATTTATCACATAAAGTAATAATATGTTCGTATAATATTATTGGCGTATGTTTTGACGACGATTTAGAGTGATAATAATTGCAAACTGAAAATAGGGTGATTATTCGGCGACATTATGTATTCCCCGACGGTCCCGTTTAGTGAATATTTTCACGGAGAACAGCTCAAATACCCTGAGCTCACGCAGGACGCTATTGAAACGTTGAAAAAAAGTTTGGAAAACGAAAATTTACCGCCTATAACCGGTGAGTCATTATAAACATTATATTGGTTAATTTGTTCAATACTATCAAACAGAAATTCTTGAAAATTTAACAGGAGGTTCATTATAAGTTGTGTTAGTGGTCAAAAAGAAAAAGTTGAATTTAATCTATTTAACTTGAACTTTTTTTTTCTCAACCACCACCGAGCCGGGGGAAAACGCGTTAGCATTATTTTCGTCACACCGGTATACATTTCTTGTCAGTGCTACTGGCCTAAGGGTGAGGCAGCGCTACTGAGCAGTGTCTACTCGCGGTGTCGTTTTAATCTAACCTAACTCCGCTCAGAATCGTCTTTTGTTAGCAATTTATATTTGCGTTTATTCAATTTTACCTCTACCTTTTAAGTACAACAGTGGTCTACCTATCTTGCGAAATATTTCAGTTTTTTTAAATTTTTATATGTGTATAAAATATAACCTATTTACGCGTCTAATAATGTTATTTTAGACGTCTATAAGTTTTAATTTATTACTTCTAATATCTAAATTGTATACTATTATGTCGTGCTATATCAATAATTATATACTTACCATTTATAACCAATGGCGGATGAAAATCTAAGTTTTTCACCCCCACTCCCGAAATTTCTTCCTTCTCTCAATTATTTTTTTTTAGTTTTGGTGTTGATCATTTTTACGGTTAATTTTAGTATAGTTAAAAAAATACATGGGATAATCATGGACTAGGATAGGTATAGGTACGTATCATGGTTATCTAAACGTGTAGATAATCGTGGTACGTATAGATATAATAAAAAACTATTTTGTGAAATACATCTATGGTCTATGTCTCAATTGAATATTAATGCATAATTGTTAAGCTTATTCTATCGTATTCCGTGGTGATACGTATTAGTATTGTAGCAATACAACGGTTGAGGATATGTTTGTTGTAAATATAAATGAATATAAAATTGTTATTTTTAACTTTTAAAACTATGCTTATTGTTTAGTTCTTTTATTATTTGGGTTTATGGTATATATTTAGTTACAAAATATTTAATTTTATTACTACAATTTTTTTTTATAATCATCAAGATTTAAGAGCTAAGACAAATATAAAAAACAGAAATTTGGGAGAATTATTTTGTGTATAAATTTTGGTATTCTTTACAAGTTCAGCTATATAGTAACCTTATCTAACCATTGGGGGGAGGGGGCGTGAAAAAAAATACTATTAGTATAGACACCATAGTAAAAATAAATGATTAGCCGGAAATGTAGGTTAGGTGGGTAGTATACCTAATAAGTTTAGGTATACTACCCTAACCTACCAAACCTAACCTAATCTAACCTAACCTACAAACATAATTTTTTTGTTTTTGTAGTTGTGATGCATAACGTGCTCTTTTTTAGTTAAATAAAATGCCACAGATTATTTTTTTTTCAAAGCAAAAAATATTTGGGTTCTTTCCGGACGTATATGGTCACGTTACCTAGTTATCCTTGTTTTGATATGCCGTATTATCGATACGGAAATTCATAAATTCATTATCGTCAAAATTTGATATTAAACGACTACTATATTACGTTTAACTTTTATTTTTGACCTCAAATTCAATTTATAATGAATCGTGTTAAGTTTTCAAACATTCATCAAACAATTTTGTACTACTATACACAAACTAAAAAAAGACGAACGTACATTGCACAATAGGTGGGCAACTCTTGTAGGTTGGAAGTTGGGAAAGTAGAGGAGAAATGTAATATATATCTGTACGCAATGATTAATTATTGCTAACGGAAAACGGTTCAAAGTAGAGTTCGTTTTTACAGGTGGTCTTTTCATACATTTTTCCATTTTTCATAATTATTATAAAAACTGCTAGGAAAATAGAAATATTAACTGCTTAAAAAACCAACTAGATAAAATTGTCTTTTAAAAAAGGTGTTACACTTGGTACAAGCAAAATTTCTGGTAGAATTTGTATACACAGTAAAAAAAAAAAAAAAAAAGCTTATATTGGGGCCACTGTTGTTGGTGAGAAGTAAGGGAGGTAGGATACATAAGGTTATTTTCTTTATATTTATCAACAACGATAAACCATTGCTTGACAAAAGACAATTTAAAGCGCAGTTCGGTAATACACAATTTTAACGATTTTCGTTTAAATTTGAACTTTAAATGTTTATTAGAAAAAATCAACTGTCCAATGATCTAGACAAATCCATCACAAATATCAAGTTTCAATTCTCTTCGTGTATTTATAGTCGAATTACAACAAAATAACTACCAAAAATTAAAATTCCTGAAAAGCGCAAAAGTGGCGCAAAAGTTTTGGCAATGATACCGTAAGAAAGTAAATTAAAAAAGTAAAAAAATAGGTATTTTGCGATTTTTCGATTTAATCATTTTGCTGGACGAAAACGTCGTCCATGTTTTTATAAAAATAATGAAATCATTAAATTGTACGTTTTCCTTAATTTGTTCTCACTTAAGTGCTTTTATTTAAAAATTGACGTAAAATACAATTGAGAAAACTTAAGCTTTCAGAAAAGTTACAACGTATAATAATCGGAGCAAATTTACTAGAAAAAAACGTGTACACAAACTAGAAGAAGAAAAAAAAAATAAACATCTTAGTAAAACCAATAGCTCCATCGCTACGCTCGGAATCTCAAATACGTAGGATTAATTAATTAAAACATCCCTGATAAAAAAAAAAATAAATAAAAAACGAAAGACTAAAAAAAATTGAACTGAAATTCGTATTTTACCAGGAACTTGTATGTCCAAACACAATTATTTATAACCTTCAAATCCATTTAATTACGGTACTTCATGTAAATTCATGTAGACCTTAAACCTTATTACATATAACATATTTCTATTGTTAACATTATGTAGTTCTCACCCCTCAACGAAATTTCCAAATGAATAAAAATGAGGCGTAGCCGGTCCTTGTTTTTATATTTTTTAATTTATTATAGTATATAAATTATTAATAATATATTGTATCATTGTATTTCATTATTTCTTTAATTATTTCACACACATTTCAAATAAAAATTATTTAATATTTAATTATTTATTAGGTAATAATATAAACTAAACGTTTATTAAAAAAAAAAGTCGTCCGATGATCTAGATGAATCCATCATTAATAACATCAAGTTACAAATCTCTTCGTGTATTTTTGTTTATGTTTTTTGTTTGTGGGCGTGGTTATTTTTTGATAATGATTGATAGTATTAAAATGATGTTTATTTTTATATTTTTTTTTTAAATATTAAAATATTAATTTTCCTTATTGTTTTTTTAAACGAACTAAAACTGCATCAAAAATAAAACACAAATATTAAATTAATATTTGTTTTAGATTCTGAGCTGAGCGAAGAATATAATATTGGTTCTACTATAAAGTGTGTGTATTTTTTTTATATCTGCAAACCAATTTTCTATTAAAAAACTTAATCCAATAGTAAAATACTAAGAGACCTTTTTTTTTACATTTTTATCTAGTTGATCTATTGAAAAGTTTGATTTTCCAAGGAGCACGGTAGTTGAGAAAAATCAGTAAAAAATCAAACGAAAAACTGATAAATATTTACAGTGACACCGTGGCATTACCGATTTTAATTTTTAAAATTTTGACGATTTAAGTTTTTTATCAGATATAAGGTTTCAAATTTCAAAAGTAACATATTTTCTGAAAGAAAATGAATGTTTTTTATTGTGGGCTTGGTTATTTTTTAAATAATGTCTAATTTTCTTTTATAATTGTACAAAAATGGAAATAGATGTGGGAAAAATTGGATTGTTTATGGAAATGACAGTTTCGATATTTTAAATTTTGTTTTTTACATTACGAGCGGAGGGAAAAATGTATTGGTTTTACAATGAGGTGTATTATTATATTGATTTTTTTATACTGTGAACACAAATCCTACCAGATCTCTTTTTCCAATGTATCACGTGTATCGTGTGCTTCCATCGTGTAAAATATGTTTGTTATACACGTTTTTATTTATTACTTCTAATATGTTAATTGTTTACTATTATGTCGTTTTAAAGATAATATATATAACAATTGTATACCATAATTGCAAACATTATAAATATAAACTAAAACCATGGATTCTTAAAAAATAGTATAAATAAATGCGTAGTCGGGAAGGTAGAATACTTGAAGTTATTCAATTTGTATATCTGTGTACAATATATTATTGTTAACAAAATTTGCTTCTGAGAGAAGATCAGTTCTATATGTTTTGATAAACCGTAATACACGTAGTACACACAAATATAATGTTAATGATCTTATTCAATGTCTATAAATTAAATAAATTTATATTTACCTAACAATATATATTTGAGGTTTTTAAAATCAAAATAAATACATAAATTATTTTTTTTTTTTTCAATTAAAATGTAAAAAATATTTGTAAATATAAATTAGTAAATCCAATAGCTCCACTGCTACTTCCGGTATCTAAAAATGTAAACATCATTGTAGCACCAATACATTCTTCGCTCCACTCAGAATGTAAAAGGTCATTATTTTTACTGTAGATTTATAACATAATTATCGCTACTTATTTGTTTAGCTTGACTGTCCTTAACGAATTTGAGCGCTCACATGTAATCGTCTTCATATTTCGCAGTTAATTTAATGTTAATGATATTCAATGTCGATAAGTTAAATTAATGTATATTTACCTACCAACATATTCTTGCGGTTTTTAAAATCAAAATAAATGCATAATGAATTGTATTTATTTCTTTTTCATTAAAAATGTAAAAAATTTGTAATACGTTGTCAAAGTAATTAAAATTGTTTTTATATTTTTGAACGCATTTTATATACATTGTAATTTATACAATTAAATTTAATGGGTGAAATCTCATTAGATCCAAAATGTTCGGTGGGGTTTCAACTAAATTATTTGTTGTTTTTGTTTCAGACAAAAAATATTTAGCGTTTCTACACAGCTGCTATTTTGATTTAGAATATGCTAAAAAGACAATTCAGAAATTTTACGGTTTTTATTCCGATATTCCAGAAGTATTTCAAGTTTTAGACCCATTGGCTCAAGAGATAGAAACTAATTATAAATGTGTGTAAGTATATTACATAGTGTGGATAGACATAAAACAAAAAGGCATAATATTATACCATATTAATTATAAAAATATACTCTGTAAAATAAATTTGGTAATTTATTTGTGTTGGCGAAATCAGGAAACAGATATTGTTTAATTTGACTTAAAGTTATTTCATTGTGAGAATTTCGTTTTGAAATCAAGTAAAAATTACGATACTCTAATATACCATTGATTTACCACCCCAGAAAATGTGATCATGTAAATTACAAATTTAAAAGTTTATTCAATATAACGTTTTTATCTTTAACCATTTTGGTTTTTATTGCAGGAGCATAGGTCAAATGCCTTCCGTCAACATTGACAAAAGTGAACGGTTTCTATTCGTACAACTGAAAAACTACAACGCCAATTTGTTCGAATACTCTTCTATTTTTAAATATCTTGCAATGTGGATGGACCATACGTTATTAAGATATGGGACTTGTGACGCAATCATTGCTGTCATTGATTCAAAGGGGTTGAATTGGCGTCACATTATAAAGTTACCTGTTCTTTTGTGCCGTCAAATGCTATTATTTCTTGAGGTATGTACCTACGTTAAATCGAATATTTGTCGGTTGTATACAGAGCTGAGGATTTCTATTTGTAAGAGATACAAAAACTAGTTAAAAAATGAGTTGTGGGATAATGTTTCCCCCTTTTGTTTATTTAAATAAATTTTATTTTTGTCTACATCACCTACATCATCAAGTTTTATATCCTTTATATCAGTATTTGTACGAGGCATACATTTTTTTTTTTGACACAAATTGGATATAATTGAAACTAGATAAATTACTTCGTTTCTTTTTGTTCAAATATCATATGACGTTTTAGAACGAAGTTTGTTTAAATATTATGTGTAAATAATGCATACAAACTAATTACTAAATGAAACTGTGCATGCACTCTTACATTTTACAGTTATTAATGTTGACGGGTTATATTTTTATGAGGGGTTTGTAAAATATTATACTATTTGTTGGTATACGTTGTATACAACCTATATTATACTAACGTACTTAATATACATATTTTTTCTTAATGTTTTTAGACTGCTTTACCGATTCGTCTAAAATCAATACACGTTTTGAACACCGGATCTACTACGCAAATGCTAATGAAAGTTATCATGCAATTTGCGAGTAAAGAATTACAAGAGAGGGTAAAGCCATGTTTTTTTACACATATTACATAATAATTTAATAATGAGTTTGTATACACGTGCTTATATTTTTTATAATTAAAACATATGTAAAATACATTTATGAAATGTTAAAACTGATCTCAGAAACTGCTATGTTACATGAGTTTCATGACTTTTTCAGTCTATTTATTTTTGAAGAGCAAAAAGCAAAACAATTACAAATTTAAAATACGTTATTCAACAGATTGTTGACAAGTTTATCTTAAACGTGCAAATAATACTGTAAACCTAATTTTAAAAAAGTGTATTTTTTTATAAGCACTTGCAAAAATGAGAATTATTTATTTTATAATTCGAATAAATAAGGTAAATATTTTTTAAAAACCCTAGAGACAAAATACTTATCGTATATTTAGTTAAGGTATCAGAAGTTAGTTGTGTTTTTTCTGATAATTTTAGTTAAGTGTTATTTTTTTCCTAAAGGAAACTAAACGCGACATACGCAATTAATATTAAACACTGCTTCACAATTAGACGTCGACGCCTTAAGCAAATTCTATAAATTACATTTTGAGACACTATGGGAACAATTTCTTATCGGTGTCCTCCTTGATTGTGAATAATTTGTATATTTACTCTATATTGGCATGTAATATGAATTAATATTTGTTAAATTAAGACGTATTAAATGTGACCAGATTTTTGATTTTAAACGGTTCACCTCATTCACCCTGTTTTGACCTTAGTAATATTATAACATTAAAAACATTAAAATATAAACGGCGTGACTTTTATAATAATATACTTTGAAATAAGAACAATACATTTTATCAAATTTAGGGACAAATTAGAGGAAAATTATTCACAATCAAGGAGGACACCGATAAGAAATTGTTCCCATAGTGTCCCAAAATGTAATTTATAGAATTTGCATTGATTGTTGCATTAATAAGAAAAAATTGTTTGTATTAGTGTTTCGTATTGTTGATCATAGTATTTGCTATAAATCGATCTCTAACTTGGCATCTATAGTATATCCTGAGAGTAAATTGTAGTGAATAAACCAGGGAGTAAAACTGGGCTAATCTTCTTGACCAAAATGTATTTTTTAATAATCAATTATTCCATTGTTATAATTCGAATTATTGTTATTATTAAAATAATGATAAGTGTCTTCTCTTCGTCTCCTTCGCTTTTATCCCAACTATTTAGAGTCTACCACTCTCGTCCTAAACTTCCACTTGACCCCATTTTCCACTTCGTATACATTAGTTGTCCATGTACTATTCTCAACAACATTCAGCGATTTCGTTTTCAGTCTTCTTTTCTCCTGTTTCCTCTTACGGTTTTTTCATTAAAATTCATACTGCTTTTGATTCGTCCATCTTCATGACATACTCAATTCGCATGAGCCTATTTTCTTTCATTTTGTCTACTAAAATATTATGAGTTGGTATAACACTCACGGTTATAAATCCAGTAGATAACTTGTGTATAGTACTTATAAGTTATTAAATTACCCTCTTTTTGTTTTTAATATTTATGAAAACGATATTCTTATACGTTTTTAAAAATACTCATTGCAGGGCTAATTACAATATTATTTAATTTTAATATTGCAAATACCTACACACCAGTTACTCAGTTTTCAACTAAGAAATATATCATTATTATTTACTCATAATACTTGCATATTTAACTTGAATAATATCATGAATACTATCAATTAGGTACCTAAGCATAATAATGAGTGATTAACTTCGTTAAGTGAAAATATTGTTCATCAAGATTTATAATATTGTAATGAATTTATACATATTATGTTACAGTCTATTGTTGACGGAATAATAATTATAATTAAGTATAACTATAACTTTCAATTTCTATCACATCATATACCTATATACTACCTCGTCATTACTACCATTGTTTTGTACAAAGTTTTGTTATTAAATGTCTTTTTCTGTTTCTCCAAACTCTTATACTCTGTTTTATCTCTTCTTACACTTAGTTCTTTTCCTTTAAGTGCTACTGTTCATTTCTCAAGCCTATTGTAAACTTTGTCTAAATTTTATCCTATTAAAGATATATTATCTACCAATGTATTATGGTATCATTTTTTATGGACAAACCTCCAACGTTTTGTTTAGAATACCTCATACTGTTTCACATCGAACAGGTAGAGCTACCGTGGGAGTATTCCGACCCTTTTCTACAGGGAGAATGGTATTATCAATTATAAGGAGAATCCCTTCTGTTGACTTAATATGAATTCATTTATTGATATTGATTATTACCAATAAATATTAAATATACATTTTTGACCACTTACACTTGCCCACCAAATTTCAACCATAACGCATAGGCGTAGGTATTGAAAAACACTTTGCCGTAACTTTGATGTATTGTCTAAAAATGTTATCATAAATTATTTCATGAATGATTAAAGAGATAATATACCAGAAAATATGACTAGAATGTACATGAAATGCACTTAGATATTTGCCTATATAATTTGACAAAATATAGTTTAAGTTTGTCCATAATTATTAATTACCAATTTAATTATTTACGTTACATTTGTTCGTAGATAAAATTGTACTCACCCGGTTCGGAGGAAATCTTTAGCTACGTGCCGAGAAAAGTAATGCCCGTAGAAATAGGAGGATTAGGAAAATCGCATAATCACTATAACGGTATTTATATTACATACTATATAATATATAGCATGGTTAGAATTCTATCGAAAAAAAACTAATATTATACATTTTTTTTTTAGATGAATTGTACAATCATTTAATAGATATTCGTCCAATTTTTCTCGAACGAAATGAAATACTGAATAAACATAGAATGAACCAGAATTAATTATTATAAAAATAAATAATAATTACAAATAGATATATTACTCTTCGAAAAAATAAATTTTGTAAATGATACTGTACGGTGGAAAAAATAATAATATATGTTTTATGTCGTTACACTAATAATGCTTTGAATCTTCAAAATGCACGGGTGCACCCCCATTTGAGGGGGTGCGAAGAGTGGACATGGTACCCTTGACTTTTCCGTGTCTGCTATACATTTATTTATTTTAGTTATGATAGGTAAATACTATTCTAGGAAATAGGAATACAGTCATATAATATTATTTTAGATCACAGAGCCACAGCCTACAGATTTCATACAATACTGATATTATGGACGAGTAGCTTTTAGTGCGTATGCGAGCCGACGGTAGCGGTCACTGTTGTAGGTGAGTAGTTAGGGAGGTAGGATACATAAGGTTATTTCATTTATATCTGTAAGCAAAAATAAACCATTGATTGACGAAAGACAATTTCGAGCGCAGTTCGGTAATGCATAATTTGAAGTGTCGTAATTTTTTTTTGCGATTTTCCATTAAATTAGAATTCTAAACGTTTATTAAAAAAAAAAAAAAATGTCGTCCGATGACCTAGATAAATCCATCACCAATATCATCAAGTTCTAAGTCTCTACGTGTATTTATAACTGAATAAAAACCAAAAAACTTCCAAAAATTAAAATTCCTTAAAATCTCAAAATAAATAATATTGTAAGAAAGTAAATCAAAAAAAGCAACAAAAAAAGTATTTCGTAATTTTTCGATTTAATCATTTTTCTGGAAGAAAACGTCGTCCGTGTTAATAATATAAAAATAATGAAATCATGAAGTTATACGTTTTCCTTCCTTTTTTTTCGCTTAAATGATTTTATTTGAAAAATGACTTAAAATAAAATTTAGAAAACTTAAGCTTTCAGAAAAGTTACAACACATAATAATCGGAGCAAGTTTACTAGGAAAAAACGTGTCCACAAACTAGAAGAAGAAAAAAAAAATAAATATCTCAGTAAAACCAATAGCTCCATCGCTACGCTCGGAATCTAAAATACGTAGGATTAATTAATTAAAACATCCTTGATAAAAAAAAATAAATAAAAAATGAACGACTAAAAAAAATTGAACAATAGATATTATTGTTAACATTATTTAATTCTCACCCCTCAACGAAATTTCCAAACAATTATAAATGAGGTGTAGCCGGTACTTATTTTTATACTTTTTAAATTTATTATAGTATATAAATTATTAATAATATATTGTATCATTGTATTTTTTTATTTATTTAATTATTTCACACACATTTCAAATAAAAATTATTTAATATTTAATTATTTATTAGGTAATAATATATTCTATATTTTATAAATTATTATTAACATACTGTATCATTGTATTTATTTATTTATTTCTCACACATTTCTAATAAAAACCATACACCGGTTCGATTATAATAAAGCAATTTAATTGAATCTTGATATCATATGTACTTACAATAGTGCAAGTTTGGATAACATGACGTTTGAAAACCACTCTAGTGTATACCATAGAGCATACCCCTGGGTCGGAAATTAATTTTTATGGCGGTCCAGATAATTTGAAATAAAATGTTCGAGTGCCAGGAAAAACTTAATCATTAGTTTATAATTATTGTATTTATTTTTGTACTAAAATACATTTTAAGACAAATTATTTATTATTTAATTATTAATTAGGTAATTATATATTCATACTAATAATAACACAATTTTATTCTTATAAGTTGAATGAAAAAAATGAAATTTTTTGTCCCGAGTAAATTTTTTAAAATTTGGTACTTTCGGAAAACAACTTATGCGCAGAGTGTTTTCTAGGTGGAGATCGCCTACCTTGAACGATATTTATTTTTTAAAAACGTAATTTTGGAGAATGAAGTTTCACATATATATTTGGAGCCAAACACGGTAGCTAATTTTCGGCCAGTTTTTTTCAGTTCATGTACCTATCCAAAACATGCTTTGCTCGAAAATCTTCAGTAGACGTAGTCTTGTATATTTTTAAAGAAATATCTTTTTGCAAATCAATAATTTTTATTTGAAGTAAAGATTTTGGAAGTCTGAACAATTTCGTAGCTACGTCGATCCATTCTCAGGTTGGAGAAACTTGGTAAGGATTTTTAAAAAATTGTGACAATTGCTTTAAATTTGAATTTTTTCATATTATTGATTAAAAACCCGTGATTTACAGTAAAATTATTTAAAAAATAATATAATGTACAGGGTGGCACAATGTGCCATTTTTACATGTAACTACAATGTAAAAATATCATTAATTGAATTAATTTAAGCTGAATTTTACGAAACTTACTTGAACTCCAATATTCATTTAACAATATTAGATAATTTTAAAATAATATGTAACAAAGATGGGTTTTAACTATTTACACAACTTAATATTTTTAGAAAAAATTAATGTGACTTTTGTTTGTATAAAACAGAATTAGTTTTCAAAAAGTATACCTTTAAAGAGTAATGGTGGTAGCTTTACATGGGGAATTTTCTTATCTACTACAAACTATGCAGCTTGAGCTATTTTTTATAAATTGAAATAAACTTTAAAAAAAAATTTGAATTTAAATCAAACTAATTATGCCAGTAATCACCAATGTATTATCATTTATTACATCCATATAATATATTGTAATATAGGCCATACAATATTTTATTTATAAAAAGTTGTTAGCTTGCAAAATATACTCTAATTGCGCTTCAACTCATGATACAGGCGAGATGCGGAACGGCCTTTCTATATAAACTCTATGTTGTATACACCCTAAGTTTCCTGACAAATCCGTGCATTTGATTTTGAGCGAAGTGAGATACGTATTGGTATTACTATAATCATAGGTGAAAATAATCTATATTTTTAATGTAAGTACCTGTGCTAAGTAATTAAATATAGGCATTTGGCATTTTTGAGGTTTTATCTAGTATTTAATTGGTTTGCTATGGATACAATTTTTTGGCTGAATAGAAATGCTAGAAAATTTAATACCTACGAGGTTCATTTTATGTTTAAAAAAAAACCGCAATGTAGTCGTTTTTTTATTAGGGTTGTTTAAAGTTCAATTTTTGACGAAAATTGTAAAAATTACGGCAATTCAAACATATAATATAATCAAACTTCACTCAGAATTGTTTTTCATAGTAATAATTTATCGCTGCGTATAAATTGAATAATTGTATGTATACTACCTTCCAAACTTCCTATTTACAACAGTGATGCACCCAGGTCAATGTTCTGGATTTTTCATGGGGAAGGGGAATAAATAGATTATTAAATAAATATATCAATATTATTAGTAAATTCAAAAGTTAAACATAAATTATAATTTGTCGATCACATACCACATGCGTGTATATATTATATTTCAATAGTTTTGTAGAAGTAAATTTGTTTTTAATTCGATAAAATGGGTGCAGTACGATTGTGCGCGTTTTATCTTCTTTTTACCTTTTTGGGAACACGATTGCACGGGGTGCCGGAATAACAAAGAACATGATTTTGACTCTTCAAAAGTATACGATTGCGCGCGATATTGAAAGCAGCTTGGCCAAAATCGTTGCATATGTTTAAATAAAATAAAATAGCAAACAATTCAAAAATTGTTTTTAGTAATAAAAAAATATAAACATTAAATTGGTAATAAAATTACGAGTAGTTAAATTTTAAACACGACATGACTGTCATGTAGGTATATACATAGGTACATCATGCGCGATGATTTATTCTATACAAATACATATAAATTATACCCAAATATATATTTACGTTATTTATTAACATTATTTTTGCATATGTGGTTAATATTTTGGGAGTTTCGATAATAATTAACGGTTTTACGGTTTTCTCTCAAATAATATCATCAATACATTATTATGTTGCTTTTATTTTACACCAAATTATTATTTTTTTTTTTTGGTACGTTATTATTAATTTACGGTTAATATGGTTGATTTATGTTAATTAATTAAGGAACGAACACAATTCACCATTACCCATATAGGTTTTTTTTTTTATCGAGTGAGGAATACCCATACCGAATGAGTTAATCATTTCATCGCAGACAACTGCCCAACAAAACATTAAATATTAATGTTTAGCGTATAGTTAATTGAATAATTGAGTGATGAATAATTATTGAGTGCCTTATATATGTAACGATTTCTCAATACTAGTGAAGAGAAATTTACGATTTTCCTTAAAATTTAATTAAATTTAAAAAAAACTCCAAATGTATAGAGTAGCGGCCCCCACTACGCAGCCCTTCAACAAATTTTGCGTGGCTTGTACTAAAATATCTAAAATTAAATTGTACATTTTAAAATCCAAAATTTTACAATTTTATAGAATAAATAAAATAGAATACACTTAATATCTTTTATTTTTATTATCTTATTATTCTTATTTATTTTATTTGTCTACTTTTAAGTATTAACTTTAATTCGATTTTCACTTTGATTCTTTCCTTCCCTGTATGAGTGGATTAAACATACTCTCTAAACGGGTTCCCACCCGATAATATAAATTATAATAAGATAATATAATAATCAAATCAATTTGATTTATTTGAAAATTACCGCTCCTAAACTAGTGCCACCCTAGGCGGCTACCTATTTTGCTACTGCATTGGGCCGATCTTGAGTGTTTACGCACTTTATATTTTGTTGCAGTTCATTCTCAGTTAGAATATACGGATAAATAGTCTGGGAGCCATATCTAGCAAAGGATTTGATTTGACTGGAATGCGTAGAAAATTAATTTTAAATTCTGAGCAGAGCTTATGGTTTTACAAAGAGGTTTATTATTTATTTTTTTTCTGTGGACATTTTTTCTACCAGAAAAAATTCTTGCATCGATTTTTAAGTGTAGCACTTTTTCTGAAAGTAAATCTGATTAGGAAGGTACTTTTAAGAGGTCATTTTTTGATTTTCTCAGGAGTTTTCTCAACAAATGGGAAAAACAAAAAAAAAATGGTAGAAAAACTGGGAAAATCCCAGGAAAAAACGAGAAAATCGGATTAATATTAAACAAATATTATTAAAGAAAAAATACAATGTTTATTTAATTATTTTGCCATAGTATAACATAGTATGACATAACCAAAAAAAAAAAAAAGGAAGAAATATCTAAACATTTTACGAAAATAATGTTTTTATTATTTTCAATTTTGTCTTTTTGTTGTAATTCAGAATAGAATATTTGTAAATACTTGAAATTTTGACTGAAAATGTAAATTTACTTTTTCTAGAAGTGATAAAATTATTTTTGAGGTGTTTATAGACATTTTAACTTTGCGAATTTTTCATGTCATTTTTATTTGTTGTGTATACTTTGTAAATAAATTGTTAGACTAAACAGAAATTCTTGAAAATTTGATAGGAGGTTTATTAACCGTCGTAATTTGTGGTCAAATAAAAAAAACCAGCCTAATGTAGTATTTTTTTTTATTAAGGAATTTCAATATTATATTTTGATTTTAATTTTTCAATTTATTTTGTTTTGCACTTATGTATCAACTCTTTTTTCTTTTTAATTTGTATCCAATTTTGACAAAAATCGTAAATATTACGGTCTTTTAAACATGTGTAATTTCGCTCAGTATCATTTTTCGTTAGTAATGATTAATCGTTGCATACAGGTATATATTAAATTCCCCTTAATGTCGTACCTTCCCATCTTCTCATCTACAACAGTGGGCAACCTATCATTTGAAGTGTGTCCATCTGAATCAATTTATGTAAATAATGATTTGAATTTCGATCTTCGCAGGGCGATAATCTTATCATAAGGAAAAACTATCTATTTGTAATGTAATATCATCCTGTAATAACATCAACGTATTTTAATTTTTTTTATAAAATGTTTCAGAATTATTATATTTATACAATTATAAAATCAAAAATGCCATTGTTAATTACTATTATACATATTATATTGTACAGCTATTTATATGTATTGTGAACATTTAGCATATTACAGGCACAATACATATTGTATAGGTAGGTGTATTCGAGAACCGTCGTTGATTCTACGCCATAATAATATAATCGCGGCAATCGTGTGTTGACCTTGCCCTTCTCCGAGGTATATTCGGCTCTGGACCGCCGATGTAAACTCGTAGTCTAGCATAAATAATAGGTATCTTGCGTGGCAACTTTTACGACTCGTTTCAGAAGGATACCGATGCCGTTTGCCATGCGATATTTACCATCGTTTTAATTGCGCCGTGACACTTGCAGCGGTATGTTCGCGTGAAAACCGCTCAGTAGTTCGGCCATCACGTCATGTCCACCCGGTCTATCATTATTATTTATAACATATAGTAATAACATTTTCGTATAATATTATTGGCGTGCGTTCTGACGACGGTTTCTACTTTCTAGTGATAATAATAATAAAAACCAGCCGAAAATAGGGTGATAATTCGACGGCATTATGTATTCCCCGACGGTCCCGTTTAGTGAATATCTACAAGGAGAACAACTCAAATATCCCGAGCTCACGCGGGACGCTATTGAAACGTTGAAAAAAAGTTTGGCCAACGACAATTTACCGCCCATAACTGGTGAGTCGTTACAAACATTATATAGGTTAATTGTTCGACACTATCAATTATAACGCAGAAAAAAAAATAATCTTCGTCGGAACTATAATGTCGATATGTACCGGTAAGCAGAGAAATTAATTACAAACGTCAGAGGTTTAACGGTTTAAATACATTAATATTAAATCGTAATAACGATATTAACGTTCACTCCTTGCAATCTATATTGTAGAAGTTAAACTCGCAATAAACATTAATATTTCGTAGACATTTAAAATATTAAACTGTACCATTACACATATTATTGAAGTCCACGTACGTACCATTAATTAAAAACCGACACTCGAAAATATAGGATTTAAATATTGGAACAATGACGAATGCTATGCGTTTGGAATTTTAAAGATAAGACATGTTGGAGTTTAAATAAAATCTGCGTTGATTTGTATAAATATTCGTCCAAACAAGTGAAACATTTATTTTGCAGTATTATTTGTCACTGTATTTTAGGTGTTCTCTAATACGAATCATTTCATTATGGGGAGTTTTTTTTTTTAATAAAATATTAAAATATTAATTTTCCTTATTGTTTTTTTTTAAACGAACTAAAATTGCATCAAAAAACAAAATAAAAATAAAACACAAATATTAAATTAATATTTGTTTTAGATTCTGAGCTGAGCGAAGAATATAATATTGGTTCTACTATAAAGTGTGTGTATTTTTTTTATATCTGCAAACCAATTTTCTATTAAAAAACTTAATCCAATAGTAAAATACTAAGAGACCTTTTTTTTTACATTTTTATCTAGTTGATCTATTGAAAAGTTTGATTTTCCAAGGAGCACGGTAGTTGAGAAAAATCAGTAAAAAATCAAACGAAAAACTGATAAATATTTACAGTGACACCGTGGCATTACCGATTTTAATTTTTAAAATTTTGACGATTTAAGTTTTTTATGAAAGAAAATGAATGTTTTTTATTGTGGGCTTGGTTATTTTTTGAATAATGTCTAATTTTCTTTTATAATTGTACAAAAATGGGAATAGATGTGGGAAAAATTGGATTGTCTATGGAAATGACAGTTTCGATATTTTAAATTTTGTTTTTTACATTACGAGCGGAGGGAAAAATCTATTGGTTTTACAATGAGGTGTATTATTATATTGATTTTTTTTATACTGTGTACACAAATCCTACCAGATCTCTTTTTCCAATGTATCACGTGTAGCAATTTTTGTGAAAGGAAATTATATCTAGTTGGTTATTTATTCAGGTCGTTAAAGAGGTTTTTTATTTACCAAATGTTTTCATATTAATTTGAAAAAAAAACTAAGAAAAAATCGGAAAATTTACGAAATTTATTATTTTCAATTTTGGTTTTTTTGTTGTGATTCAGTTTAAAATGTTTGTAGACACTTGATATTTGAACAGACAAATAATAATTGTCTTTTATTTAGACCTAGTAAAAATTTTAAAAACTTTTGAATCTTTTAGACTATTTATATACATTTTAATTATGCATGTTTTATGTAATTTTTATTAGGTAAGTACTCTATTAGGTAAGATAATAATTCGTAGATATTATGTATTCTCCGACGGTTCTGTTTAGTGAATATCTACAAAAAAAGTAACTCAAATACCCAAATGAATACCTCAAATGAAAAGTTGAAAAAAAATTTGCCCTACGAAATTTACCACCCATAACCGGTGAGTTCGATCCTATCAATGTAAAGGAAAAACTCAAAAAAAAAAATGATCTCTGTAGGAATTATAATAGCGATATGTACAGTTAGGCAGAGAAATTAATTAGTTATAAGTCAAAGGTTTAACGGTTTAGATATTTTGTTTGATAGGTAAGTACAAGTACCTAGTATATTCTGCAGTGGACAAAATTGTTAGACCGAAAAGAAATGATTGAAAATTTAACATTAAGTTAATTAAAAGATATAATTAGTGGTCAACAAGAAAAAGTTGTGTTTAGTTGTATTTAATCTGTTTAACTTGAACTTTTTTTTCTCTCCCGCAATCATCGATATACATAAAATGTATCTTCAGTCCCTTCCCGACTTATCACCTACAACAGTGGAGCTTCCATGNACTTGAAGTTATTCAATTTGTATATCTGTATACAATATATTATTGTTAAAAAAATTTGCTTCCGTAATACACGTAGTACACACAAATATAATGTTAATGATCTTATTCAATGTCTATAAATTAAATAAATTTATATTTACCTAACAATATATATTTGAGGTTTTTAAAATCAAAATAAATACATAAATTATTTTTTTTTTTTTCAATTAAAATGTAAAAAATATTTGTAAATATAAATTAGTAAATCCAATAGCTCCACTGCTACTCTCGGTATCTAAAAATGTAAACATCATTGTAGCACCAATACATTCTTCGCTCCACTCAGAATGTAAAAGGTCATTATTTTTACTGTAGATTTATAACATAATTATCGCTACTTATTTGTTTAACTTGACTGTCCTTAACGAATTTGAGCGCTCACATGTAATCGTCTTCATATTTCGCAGTTAATTTAATGTTAATGATATTCAATGTCGGTAAGTTAAATTAATGTATATTTACCTAACAACATATTCTTGCGGTTTTTAAAATCAAAATAAATGCATAATGAATTGTATTTATTTCTTTTTCATTAAAAATGTAGAAAAATTTGTAATACGTTGTCAAAGTAATTAAAATTGTTTTTATATTTTTGAACGCATTTTATATACATTGTAATTTATACAATTAAATTTAATGGGTGAAATCTCATTAGATCCAAAATGTTCGGTGGGGGTTCAACTAAATTATTTGTTGTTTTTGTTTCAGACAAAAAATATTTAGCGTTTCTACACAGCTGCTATTTTGATTTAGAATTTGCTAAAAAGACAATTCAGAAATTTTACGGTTTTTATTCCGATATTCCAGAAGTATTTCAAGTTTTAGACCCATTGGCTCAAGAGATAGAAACTAATTATAAATGTGTGTAAGTATATTACATAGTGTGGATAGACATAAAACAAAAAGGCATAATATTATACCATATTAATTATAAAAATATACTCTGTAAAATAAATTTGGTAATTTATTTGTGTTGGCGAAATCAGGAAACAGATATTGTTTAATTTGACTTAAAGTTATTTCATTGTGAGAATTTCGTTTTGAAATCAAGTAAAAATTACGATACTCTAATATACCATTGATTTACCACCCCAGAAAATGTGATCATGTAAATTACAAATTTAAAAGTTTATTCAATATAACGTTTTTATCTTTAACCATTTTGGTTTTTATTGCAGGAGCATAGGTCAAATGCCTTCCGTCAACACTGACAAAAGTGAACGGTTTCTATTCGTACAACTGAAAGACTACGACGCCAATTTGTTCGAATACTCTTCTATTTTTAAATATCTTGCTATGTGGATGGACCATACGCTATTAAGATATGGGACTTGTGACTCAATCATTGCCGTCGTTGATTCAAAGGGGTTAAATTGGCGTCACATTATAAAGTTACCTGTTCTTTTGTGCCGTCAAATGCTATTATTTCTCGAGGTACGTACCTACCTAAAATCGAATATCTGTCGGTTGTATACAGAGCTGAGGATTTTTATTTGTAAGAGATACAAAAACTAGTTAAAAAATGAGTTATGGTATAATCTTTCCCCCCCCCTTTTTTTAAAATTGAATCAACATATATTAAATGGAAACATAATATATTTTTCTTTATTATGTTCCAATATCAACATTATTTCTACCGGTACAACAATTTTCCTCGGGCCGCTCATGCAAATTTTTTTTGTTTACATCACCTACATCATCAAGTTTTATACCTTCTACAAGTATATCAGTATTTGTAGAATGCATTAACTTTTTTTTTTTAAACAAATTTAATATACTTGAAACTAGATAAATTACTATGCATGCACTTGTACATTTTACAATTATTAATGTTGACGGGTTATTTTATTATGAGGGGACTGTTAGATATCACACTATTTGTTAGTACATGTAGTATACAACCTAACTTATACTAACGTACCTAATATACATATTGTTTCTTGATGTTTTTAGACTGCTTTACCGATTCGTCTAAAATCAATACACGTTTTGAACACCGGATCTACTACCCAAATGCTAATGAAAATTATCATGCGATTCGCGAGTAAAGAATTACATGAGAAGGTAAGGTCATTTTTATTATACATATTATATAATAATTTAATAATGAGTTTGTATGCACGTTTTTATATTCTTTGTAATTAAAACATTTGTAAAATACATGTATGAAATGTTAAAACTGATCTCAGAAACTATAAAGAAATTATATAGAAATCATATTTTATTTTTTTAAGAACCTGTACAAATAATTATAATACATTATTTAATTTAATGACATAAGTAAAATGTATTTTAATAACCCAAATTCAAATTAGTTTTCGTGTACCTAATAAACGGTACCCGAAATTAATTTAGATGTATCGGACTATTCTAGTTTGATGGTTTTTTTTCCGAACGGAACTAAATGCGACATGTATAATTTATATTTAACACTGTTCTACAATTATAAATTGACTCTATAAGTTAATAATATAAATTACAATATAGGACACTATGGGAACAATTTCTTATCGGTGTCCTCCTCGATTGTGAACAATTTTCCTATAATTTGCCTCTAAATCTGAAGAAAAATATTGATCCTATTTCAAATTATATTATTATAAAAGCCAAGCCGTTTATATCTTAATGTTGGTTTTGTAATATTATTACCAGGGTGAAATCGTGGGAAAAGAGTGAAATATTTCGAACCAAAATCTGATCACGTTTAAATCGCAACCTACCAAATATTAATTTTATACTTTATGGTGATAATATAATAATATGTTAAATAAAGGAGTAAAATATGCCAATCATTCACAGTCATGGAGAGCATGTGTGTTAATTTTTATAAACCAGTGTTTCGTATTATTGATTATAGTATTTGCTATAATGAAATCTCTCGTTTGGTATCCATAGTGTAAAGTGATCAATGTAAGTGGGTATACTCGATATATCGAAAATTATTTACTTTTTTTCAAAATTTAAAAAATAAACTACTTCAAAATTTAACATTAACATTATTTTTTGTCAACCTAATTTTTGGGCGTGAAACGAATATCTACTTTTGATTTTAAGATGGCAACTTATATTACAAATTCTATAAATAAATGGAGTACTAATTAAAACAAAATGTTGGTGCTAAAATCTTTGAGTTCTATGGTCTATCGATCTGTATGTATTTATATATACATAATAATACTGGATCCAAATAGTTACCTATTTACTATATAATCAACTTAATATGAATCCGTTTATTGATATTGATTATTAATTAATACTAAATATCAATTTTTAACGATATACACCCGTCCACCAAATTTCAACCATAACGCATAGGCGTAGGTATTGAAAAACACATCGCCGTGACTTTGATGTATTGTCTAAAAATGTTATCATAAATTATTTCATGAATGATTAAAGAGATAATATACCAGAAAATATGACTAGAATGTACATGAAATGCACTTAGATATTTGCCTATATAATTTGACAAAATATAGTTTAAGTTTGTCCATAATTATTAATTACCAATTTAATTATTTACGTTACATTTGTTCGTAGATAAAATTGTACTCACCCGGTTCGGAGGAAATCTTTAGCTACGTGCCGAGAAAAGTAATGCCCGTAGAAATAGGAGGATTAGGAAAATCGCATAATCACTATAACGGTATTTATATTACATACTATATAATATATAGCATGGTTAGAATNATGATTAAAGAGATAATATACCAGAAAATATGACTAGAATGTACATGAAATGCACTTAGATATTTGCCTATATAATTTGACAAAATATAGTTTAAGTTTGTCCATAATTATTAATTACCAATTTAATTATTTACGTTACATTTGTTCGTAGATAAAATTGTACTCACCCGGTTCGGAGGAAATCTTTAGCTACGTGCCGAGAAAAGTAATGCCCGTAGAAATAGGAGGATTAGGAAAATCGCATAATCACTATAACGGTATTTATATTACATACTATATAATATATAGCATGGTTAGAATTCTATCGAAAAAAAACTAATATTATACATTTTTTTTTTAGATGAATTGTACAATCATTTAATAGATATTCGTCCAATTTTTCTCGAACGAAATGAAACACTGAATAATCACAGAATGGTCCAAAATCAACCATTAATTTTAGAAAATGAATAAACTGTAATAATTACGGATATATCAATTTTAGGAAAAATTAATTTTGTGAATGACACTTTAGTGCGGTGGAAAAAGTAATCATATGTTTTACATTGTTACCGTCATAAGTAATAACGCCTCTAAAATGAGATTTTTCCAACCTAACCCGAAAATATGTCGTATTTTGTCAATAATTGAAAGCACCGGTGCAGTAATCAAATACGTTCAAATTTACAATATTTCAGGGTACAAAAACAATTTTTTTTGGTATACATTTATAGTTTTTTTTATATTTTAATATGTTAAAGGGTTATAATATTGGTGATACATTATCTATTTAATATAATTACACGAATAGCAAATTGTATTTTTCTAGGCATAACCACAGAAAACATTAATTTTCTGTTTTTAAATTTACTCTAGAATAATTTAATAGGCAATTAAATATACTGTGAATTATTTTGTAAGACCATATTAAGATACATATTAAATGATTTTCACTTATTGTTCATCAATAGAATATTGAGTTTGTTTTATCTTTTAAAATACGAGGGCTAATCAAAAAGTATCGAGACTGATAATATTACTCGGAAACCGAGCGTTGAAGAGCAAAACGATTTGTAAACNTTTGACGATATTATTCTAAAATTTGTTTTTCACGTTTGGCGATTTCGTAATGAATCCAAAAGAAGCGGAACTCGCTGCCACTCGAGGGCACATTTTCAGTTTTTCAATTGATATTTAATGGCAAAAACCATGAAATGTTGCATCCCTCTGAAACTGGAAAAAACGCAGTCAAATTTTCTAAAATCTCCAAATCTGTCTAGTTACTCTTCTTTTGGGTTTATTACAAAACCGAAAAACTCGAAAAATATATTTTACAAAAATATCAGTGAAATCAAACCGAAGAATTTTACAGAGAAGCAATAAGAACAAATGTATTTTTTCTATAGCGTTTAGAAACGAACATGTTTTTTTCTCTTACCGAAAACGATGTGTGACGAAAAACATGAGCAACGGATAAACGTACAATTTCCTCGTTAAACTAAAAAAAATTCCAACTGAGTGCTATAAGTTGTTAAAAGAGGCCTATAGTGAGGATCGGGCGCGTGTTTGAGTGACATAAATTATTTTCTGAAGGTCGAGAGTGCACCGGAATCCAATTCAGTCGTAATCCAAATTCAAAACCATGCTGATCGTTTTCTTCGATATCAACGGCATCGTGATGACTGAATGGGTTCCAGAGGGTCAAACTGTGAACCAACATTACTATTTGACAGTTTTGGCAACATTGCGCGAATGAGTTCGTAAGAAACGGTCGATATTGTGGAAAAACAAGTCGTGGATCTTGCACCAGGATAACACACCTGCCCATAACGCGCTGTCTGTGAAGCGTTATTTGGCCGCTTAAGGCACTCCAGTACTCGAACACGCGTCTTACTCACCCGACTTGGCACCCTGCGACTTTTACTTGTTTCCGAAGATAAAGTCTGCCTTAAAAGGAATCCGGTTTGAGTCGATGGAAGAGGTGAAACAAAAATCGGTGGAACTCCTGAATGGTCTTACGAAAACAGACTTCCAGCACTGCCTCGAGCAATGGAAGAAACGAATGAAACGGTGCGTGAAGAGGGGAGGAGAGTATATTGAAGGGGAACATTTGGTTGTAGAATAATTTTTAAAATAAAACCATTTTTCATAAGCAGTTTCGTTATTTAATAGCCAGACCTCGTATGCATCACCACTAGACTATGACAACCAATAAATGGAAAATGCAATAGGTATTTTTTTTATTTAAAATAACACACATGTTGTATACCTACTGATTTCAAAGCGCTATAACTCAAGAACTAAGTTCAACTGTCCAATTTTTATTGAACCACCATTCTTAACATAAAAAGCACATTTGTTTGGTAAAAGAATGTTGACCCAGCCCATCCCCTCATCGACCCTTCTACGTTTAAAACTACTGTTAAATGATTAGCGGCAAAATGGTCTGTGGCTAAACGGTTGCGGTAAAATGTCTGGATCCGATAATTATGGGTATAAGTCTTATATTATAAATATTTGTTTTTAATTATCTTTAGTGTTGAAAATGCTGTTTCGCATAAATAAGTTGATGCAAAAGGAAGTAAAATTGATATGGCTTGTTTTGATAATTCTGGATATTCAAATTTGATGGAAATCCAAAATGTATCACATGCATTTTCTTGAAATCTGATACGTAGATTTTCATCTGATGACAAGTCAATTAGTTCTTCGCTTATTTTTAAATTTCCTAATTTTAGTTCATTGATATTAAAATGAAATGGATTTCTTATTCAACCTAGACTTTCTTCTGGGAAATCTTCAAACCGTGCATTAAAGTTTGTTTGTAAACTTCTTAGATGAGCAGTTATAATTTCTTTTATCATATTAATATCCACATCATTATCACTGAGGAATTCTGATAAACATGAAAACATTTCAAATTTTTCATCGTCGATATAATTTTTCTACAGAAGAATTTTCTTTTTAAAAGCATTGATTTTATCAGAAAGAAATAAAATATTAGTATTTTTCCCTTGTAGGCTTAAATTTAGACAATTTAGTTTTTCAAATATATCTGCAAGATAACCCAGAATTGCAAGCCATTGTTCGTCTAAAAAATGTTCCGAAAGTTTATTATTACGTTCCAGAAGAAAAATTCGTGCTTCATCTCTGAGTTCAAAAAGGCGTGATAACATTTTACCACGAGACAACCACCTTACTTCAGTATGAAGAAGCAATTTTTCATGGTCAGAACCCATTTCATTGCAAAGTATAGTAAAAAGTCTGGAATTTAATGACTTTGATTTTATAAAATTTATTACACTTATAGCATTAAGGAGTACTTTATTAACATCTGGTTGAAGTTTTTTGGAAGCTAAAGCTTCTCTATGAATCATACAATGGTTAAACATTATATTTGAAGACACTTCTAAAACCTTAGCTTNAGTTGAGCAAGATTAGTTATATCCGTAGATTCATCTAATTGCATTGCAAAATAATTTCCTCGTAATCTATTTAGGAGTTGTGATTTTATATTATCGGATATATTTTAAATTCGACGTGACACAGTATCTCTTGATAAGGGAATTGTTTTTAATTCATTTGCATATCATTCGCCATACATAATTGATACTATTTTTATAGCGGCTGGCAAAACGAGAGATTCACCAATAGAGTGTGGTTTTTTGGTTTTTGCAATTAAATATGAAGCCTCTAATGACGCAGCTAGAGCTTTTGTAGGTACTGAAGTAAAATTACGCATAGTATTTTTTTGAACTTTTATCGAATTTTCATACCTTTTAAAAAAGTCTTCCTCTTTATGTTGGAATTGGGGATGTTTAGTTACTAAATGTCGTTTTAGCTTTGATGGCTTCATACTTTCTGAAGCTAATCTTTCTAAACAAATAACACATTTTGGCTCACCTTTTTCAACATCGAAAGTGAATCCAAACTTGATGTAACTGTCTTGGTATTTACGATCCTTTTTATTAACTCTTTGGTTCAAACATTCTCGACTGATTTTTACATCTGACGACATTTCTGAGTTACGAACTTTAGTTTCTATAACACTTTCATCATCACTATTCATCGGTCGTTTAATTAAAAATTTATCCATATCGATGTTTTAGTTTATATATTATAAAATATTGAAAATATTAGATTAAAATAATACAAAATACAAACTATACAAAATTATAAGCATAATTATAAGGATTAACTCAACGGCTCGTACATGACTATCGGACTATTTCATAATAACCATGAGATTAAATAAAATTACTGATTAAATTAAATTTAAAAATAACCCGTATACTGCGTGATTCAAAAGAACTTGTTATCGCAACATTAATATTACGATAACATATTACAATTGACACAGCCATAACGGTACAAAATAATTTTACTTTGTATAAAACTATAAAATAATATACATAGTATATAACTTTTTCATTTGGTGTAAAATTATTGGCGACCCCCTAATAAAATTTCGCGACCCCCTTAGGGGTCCCGACCCCCAGGTTGCGCACCACTGGTATAAGATAACAATGTTGTTAATTATTAATGAGTAATATTGAAGAATATTAAATAATAATATTACAAGGTTAGGTTAGGTTAGTTAATAATACTATAATATTATTATAATATTTCTTGTTATTACAAGAATAAAAATGCTCAAATAACAATATTAATTTAATGTATTCAATCAAAACTTAATTACTGAGATAAATGGTTAAAAACAATTTAATGACTATAGATATTTATTAAGCAGCGTCCAAACTATACGATCAAGGTAACCGAACACCAACATAACCACATTCGGTATTGACTGACCTTAGATTTGAGAGCATTGGCATACTGTTTAAACTCAAATCGAATTCGTCATTAATTCGCGTTTGGAAGCCTTCACTTGTTGCGAACGCACGTAATTTATTTTATGTTTTCAAAAATTTAAAATTTAATTAATAACTTAAAATATTGTATTTTATTAAATATTACATTTTAAATAAAATGATATCAAGTGACTACGGTTTATTATTTATTAATGGCAAGTGCTATATGATACGATTTACTACATTCAAAGAAAATCTGGAAACTTAGAGGCTTTCTAAATGTGATTCTGGAGGAAAATGGAGAAAACAAAATGGACGGAAATGAAGTCAAACAAAGGAAATGATAGAATTAGTAAAAGAGAAAATAAACTTGTTAAGCAATTTAAGGTCAAAACAATGGTATATGATAGGTCATACTTTAAGGTAAAATGAGGAATTCCAGAGCATTATCCAGAAAGGTATGATAGAAAAGAATTGATGGAGAGGAAGGCCAAGAACGAATAATACAAGTTAAATAATTAAAGATGGAAGTGTTGGTTCATACAAACAACTCAAGGACAAGGCATACGCAAAATACTCTTGTAGAGATAATTTATTGTGCACCAATCTACAGATTAAATGCTCAAAAAAAAAAAAAAAATTTAAATAAAAAAGATATTTTAAATCCATAATCAACAAACTTGGTAAATAACGTAATTTACTAATGAAATATGTACATTTGAGTTAAAAACACATTTTTTCACAACGTTAACCTATTTTAATATTTTTAATTTTAATAATTTTGTAAATTACATTATTGGCCGGGAAATGATATCGTTTACCAATTTACGTCTTTTACCGTAACATATATATTATCTAAGGATTTGACTTAAATATTTTTAAGTCATAGATGCAAATAGTATGAAGGTCTATGGATGATAGTGCATAGATTTCTATTTTATTGATAATATTATTAATTTTGTACTTAGCAATTGATGGTAACATATTTTATGTTATAAAGTAAAAATATTTTATTTATCTATAAACCGAGGTTTCAAATTGAAAATAGGCACTGCGTTTAAATTAATTGTATAATTTATAATATTGCATAAATAAAAAACAAATTTAAATAAATATTACATAACATTATTTTGTAAACAAAATTGTTGGTATAACCCCAATTATAAAAACGACTGACACCACTGTTTATTGGCGTCGTCCCCATTCTATCGATTATTATTATTTTCATTTATATTTGTTATCACGTTCGATTTGTCTTGATGATTTTTCAGGCGTTAATCAATATTTTAGATTCTGAGTGGAGCGAAGAAGCTTATAATTTTACAGAGATGTTTTTTTTTTTATTTATGCGCTACTTTTCTACCAGAAGACTTCCTCGGATTTCTATGTGTAGCACCTTTTCTGGCCATTTTTTGATTTTTCCAAGAGTTTTCCCAAAAAATGTGAAAAACAGCGAAAAAACATGGGAAAATCGGGAAAAATGTAGTAAAATTGGAAAAATCAGTACAACATTAAACAAATTTTATCAAAGAAAATACATAAAATTTATTTAATTATTTTACTATAAAATGATATATATATATATATATAATGTTGACAAAGCATCACTATCAACTGAACTCCGCTTAGAATCATTTTTTTATAAGTAATGGTTTATCGTTGGTTTCAGATATACATTAAATTTCCGTCTGTATCCTACCTTTCTAACATCTCACCTACATCAGTGGCTGTACCCGTCCCCGTTATCTTACCATTCTTTTTTCTAACTGTATTTATTGAAATTTTAATTGTCATTACTTATTAACATATAGCATCAGAAAATCGACCGTTTAGAATTATAACTTACTATAATATTACCATTTAACTGTACTTGAATCATTAAAATAGTTGTAAACTATTATAGTTCAAATGTGTTCATTGCCATTTGTAAAATGGCTTTTACCTATGATACCTTATCCACTCTTTTCAGTAACTCTTGTCAAAGAACTAATATTGATATTCATTTTTAAGCTTCAATTTGAACACGGTAAATGTATTTATGTACTATTTTGTCGTTTACATTACTATTTATTGGGGGTTTCGTTACTAAAACAATCTCGTCATACCATCATCCAAATTTTCCAGTCCACTTTTGTTATTTTTCATATTATCTTTCATCAAGCCTGGTTCTTACGATAATTACGTTAGTAAAAACTATAAACTCACGGTTAGTGACAAATTTAACTGCTGGTTAGAGCTGAACCGACATTTTAAGAAGCTTACCTTTCTTCAGTCATATATTCTGATGTAGATGCAGTTGTATTTAAAGACGCCAAGTTATCTAAAACAAAATAAAATAAATTTCATTTAATTTTTCAATTTTTAACAAATATTTGTGCTTTTCTGTAGTTGTAAAATTAATACAATACAATACAATTAATATAATGCAAAGGTATTTTATTATTCATAAGATTATTTTATACAAATAAAATTCTACAGAGCAGTTCAAGAGATCCAAAGTAAAACTGATTTTATACTGTTAGTTTTAATATTAGAGTGAATTTATCGATTATCAAACTTAAAGTTTATAATAATCTCTGTGATTGAGTATTGGTGTTTTCTCGATATTTCAATTTTTAAGTGAGATAAAATCGTTTTTAAATTTTTATACTTCACATGCTTGTATCTTACCGAAAAATTAAAATATCCAGATGAAACCCACATACAAACAGAAATTAGAGAAAATTGTCTTTCAGGAAAGATGCTCTAGTCTATACTTTGGAGCAAGTTTTCCGGTAGTAAAGTTGTCGCGCTCAGCACTCCACCAAGTTGATCACAGGACGCCTTCTCGACTGACGGTAGGCCACTAAATAGACTGCACAGTCTTTAAATAATATAAGGATCATAAGTTACAATAAAAAAAAAGTCTTTTATTTACTGAGTTGCCAGACATCTGATATCAACATTATTACAATAGTTAGTAGATTATGTAATAAACAAAAATAAAAATAGCATATAAGTGAATTTTCAGCAAACAGACGGACATTTTTTCGTTAATTACCGCGGCAAGAGGAAAAAGAAACAACAACGACACCATAACAGGAACGCCCGATATGGAACGAAAAAGCTTCTAGGAAAAAAATGGAATGAATAGTGTAGCAGTGGCAGCAGTCAACAGCTGACCGTATTGATACTAACTCGGAAAAAACAAATCACTTTTCGCTGGTGAAACAAAAATTTTTCACAGATACAACAACATAAAATAATAATACATAGTAAAATAAAAAATTGTATTTTGACATTAACCGCGGGAGGAATCTAACCAAATGTTACATAAAAGTGCTGAAATCGACCATGCCAAAAATGACGATGATCGTATTTTGTGGTATTATGTATATATATGTTGCATCGGCTTAGTGTAATCATATTTTTCTTGAAATGGATATCCATTTCTTGAAATAGAAACTCTTATTTTACACTCTGTGTAATATTTCAAATTAATTACATCAATTATTGGTAACTTTTCGTGAAATCGAAATAATAACATTGACATGGTTACACAAATCGTATATTTAAATTATAGAAATTAAGATATTAAGTAGGTACTGTAGAACTGTAGTAACTGCACTACTATGATAATATTATTATTGTGTTATCGATGATAATTAACCGCATCAATTGTATGAGTGCAATTCGGCATTTTGGAAAAGTTCTATATCACATTGTTTTAATTTTTATATGATGGCAGTATGTCTTCTGACTTAATGCGAATGATCGCCGTTTATCACGAAATAATTATTTTAGACAAAATGGAATTTAATTCATTTTCTGAATATTATGAAAAATTAAATACTTACTACGTAGACAAACCTGGGAAAAAAATCACCTATCAAAAATGAAGTTCAATTGATGGTTGAAGATATTTCAATAGCCAAATTAAAAAGACGTCCTAGGATAATGGTTAATTACAAAAAATCAAAATTAAAAAGAACAAAACAATTAATGCCGTATTTACGTATTTTTGTTTAGAGCAAGATATATAGAAGAAAAGTTGTTTACAGAGGAAAACAAATACATCATAGTAAAACTAATAGTTACATTTTTGCTACACTCAGAATCTAAAAACGTCTTGATCTAAAATCTAAACTATACAAGTATAAAATATGATGAACTGTAGGCCATCAAAAAAAGAACAATTTGAACGTCATTTAAAGATGTAATAATATGTTAAATTGTAATTATTGATTTATATAGATGATAGATGTGACAAAGTACCAACCTATAAATATTGTCTTTAATTGAACTATGACTTATTATGTGTTCAATTTCTTTAAAACAATTTTTCACTTAAATCACATATATGCGGGTTCGTCCATTTCGTCCTTCTCAATTTAAAATGTCCTTAAACTACAATGACATATTTATTTATTATTTGATGTGCAGTTCAGTTGTTTGACAGTTGATTAACCTAACCTAATCAAAAAAAAAAAAAACAAATATTTATTCGTTATACAATTTACTATTTTCTTTTAAACCTATGTAGATAAGTTTATTTTTATTTTAGATTTGAAGCGTAGTGAGTAATTGTAATCGTAATTGGTTTTATTGTGTTTTTTTTCGTGAGGTTATTTTTTGATTTTCTGAGAGGTTTTCAACATTATTGGAAACAATTCGAAAAAAATTATGCGTAAAACAGAAAATATTTATAGCACACCACGGCCGTTTCCGTTTCAGTGTTTTTAAATTTTGCAATTTATGTTTTCTACCAGAAATATTGCTCCAATTGAAAAATGACAAGCGATTGATTTTATTCTTTATAATATATAGCCACTGACATAGAAAGTCGTTTTTTGATACCTTGATATCCAAAGTCTTTTTATAATAATTGGAGAAAACCAAAAAAGACGAAAATACGATTGCCTTCAAATTACGGTACAGCAATTTCATTATTTTAAATGTTTACGGCTTATGTTTTATACTATAAATATTGCTTCAATATAAAAACGACAACAGCTCTTTTTTTATTGTATTTTCAATAGAGTTCGTGAGTAGGTTATTCGTTTTTTGATTTTCTCTGTATTTTTATTAATGATTTCGAAAAGTCAGAAAAAAAACTAAAATGTAAATTGACAACGAGTAACGACGTTACGATTTCATTATTTTAAATTTGTAAGGCTTCTGTTTTATTCCATAAATATTGCTCAAATTAAAAAAAAAATCAAGGGATCTTTTTTATTTAATTTTAAATCTAATTGGTGAACAACATGTATGTTTTTTGATTTTCTTTGTAGTTTTTTTAATAATTGATCAAAACCGAAAAAAAATACAGAAAGTACGGGAAAATGTATACAAATAATTATTTATTTTATTTTAAATTTTGTATTTGTAATGCAATTCAGTTAAAAATATTTATAGAGACTTTAAATTTGGACAGTATATCATATTTACTTTTTCTAAAAATGGTCAAATTTGCAAAATGTTTGAGCTATTTTTCAGCTATTTTTAGACATTTTAATTTTGCTAGTTTTTTTGCGTAATTCTTATTCGGTAGACACTTTGTGGATATTTAGAATATCCATTGATTTTCAGGGTAGTCGTTGGGGATGGGTAGTATTTTTTAAATTTGTAATAAAATAAATAACATTGTTCAATAAATTTTTAAGAAAATGTACTGTTGTCATGCACAGTTGTAGTTGTTGTTATCTTATAATAATGTAATACAAATTTTATGGCGAATTTTACACACATTACAATTTTACAATACATTGTGAATCTATTATTAAAATGTAATTTACCATTTAGGCAATTCTCAAAATTTTAAATTAAGATTGTATTTAATTACTACACACGATAAATGACGTGGTTTTTTTTTTTTTTTGTTTACAAATTAATAATTTAATAATATTGATGTACACTGTGTAACAAGTAGTCGTGTTCAATGTTCTAAATGCATTAAGTTTTTGGTTTTATTATTGACAGTGTGTCAGAAAATTGTATAAAACGAAATAAATATTACACGAGTACACACTAACTATAAAATAGACAGATAAATGGATACACAAATAGACATATTTTAAATAAGATTTATTGTTATTAGCTATATATACCTATATAGATTTATGATTCAACTACCCACGGAAGCGTTCAAAATTATTTATGGAAATAAAATTTTAATTTCGTACGCGCCCTGCATCCATCTGTATCATTTATCATTTAGCTATATATTATTGTATTTAAAAACGTACACGCTTGAAAACGCAAAACAAAAATGTCTATTTGAATTAAAGTGGTAATATCATTATATCGACACACATTGCGTCATTCCCAAATGTTAAATTTTTTATATAGAAAAACAGATTTTTAACTTAATGATTGATATTATAATATTATAGTGATTTATAATTTTATCAACTAGACATAGATTATGTTTAGTGGGATGGAAGAATTTAGAACACATTCGGTCAGCTGAGCAGACACATAAATAAATTGAAGTAAATTATGATTTTAGATTCTGAGCATAGCAAGGAATGTATTAGTTTTGAACTACGATTTGAGTTTTTTAAACAATTGTTTTTTCGGTTTGTAAACAATTGTATACAATTTATAATTTTGAACTGGGACATTAAATATATACTTTATAACATAATATTACGATGTTCATTTCAATGTAGTTAGGTACTTACTATATACTTACTATACCGGGTGATCCATTTAAGTGGGTACACTCAGTATCTTGGAAAGTATTAACATTTTCCGGAATTTGTTTTCTAGAACATTTAAGAAACAACCCTTACTTTTAGGGGTAAAACCTTTAACTACTTTTGATTTTCAAATGGCAACCTATATTAAAAAGTCCTTAAATTAGTTAAAATAAATTTCAGCGTTGAAATTTTTGATTTCTGTCAAGTTGTTGACGAAATATTCCACTTTTAATTTTAGATTAGAAGGTTACAAAAAATAACATAAATGTAAAATTTTAGAGTAGCTTGTTTCTTAAATGTTCTAAAAAACAAATTCCGGAAAAAGTTAATACTTTTTGAGATATTGAGTGTACCCATTTAAATGAATCACCTGGTAATATAGTACGTACAAGCACGTAACTAGGATTTTTTTTTTGGGAGGGGTTCCAAACACAATGTTATCACAAATTATCAATAATTATACCAACAAATTGATATTTTGGGGAGAAATTAGACATTTTTTGAGAGGGGGGGGTGCAGACCCCATGGACCCTCTCCCTTTGGCTACGTGCCTGATTACGCAGATTGTATAACATTAAACGCATAAAACTGCGGTGTATTTTTACATTTCACGATAGACTGATATTGTAGTATACTATTGCTGTGCAATGTCTGGCAGCGTGTTGACAATATTCGAGGCGGTGTCCAAACAAAACAAAACGAATTGTCCTTAAGAGGACGCCACACCCGCATTTAGTCTCAGTCCAACTACCGGGCAACATGCAAAATATAATGATCACGCAGATTATGTAAAACTAGTTTAATTTTGATTTTAAAGTAAAAGTACCTATTATGAAATTTATAGTGAACAATATTATGGATGGAATATCATAGGTTTTTTTTAAATTATGAACTATTCAAAAAGTTACAGTTATTTAAAAACCTGAAAATTAAAAGGGTTTGTTGTTTATTGTTATATCGAACTATATATTTAGAATAATAAAAAAACCCAATGAGATTCCTTCTAAAATATTTTTCTCTATAAATCTCATAATAGGTACGGTTACTCTAAAATTAACATTTTAAACAAAGTCTACGTAAACATTGTTTTTGCATGCTGCTTGGTAGTTGAGATAGTAGATGCAGGTGTGGCGTCTTCTTAATATAATAAAATTAGTTATTCAGACGGGCTGGTTTTTGTTTTCGTTCATTTGTTCGGATTAATCGAATATTAGGTATATCTATCATATTTTAATCACTATATCGAGACTTCAATATGTATAAAGAAAAGCATTTAGTAAAAAAAAGCTATTTTATTATTTAAAAAATTAAATTTGCATTGAATTAAAATAATCTGTTATCTTAGTTTTTGTATAAAAATCATACAGATTTTTCTAATATAGCCAAAAATAACCGTTATAACATCTATATAGTCATTATAAAGATGTCCTAATAATTGATACAATATAGGGGGTTTTGCTGGGACCCTCAATCTAAGATTATTACACCCGATATGTCACTACAACCAGTGTTATTAAAAAAGTATCTACTGTATTTTTAGATTTTCAATGAAGCAAAGAATGTTTTACTATGATATTTTAGATTTTGAGAGAAGCGAGAAACATATTGGTTTTACAATATTGTTTATTTATTTTGTTTTTCTGTTAAAAAAATGTATATCATAAATTTCTGAAGAGAAATTTTACTATGATGGTACTTTAGGGAGGTCATTTTTTACTTTTCTCGGGGATTTTCATAATAAATGGAAAAAGCCGAGGAAAACATAGGAAAAACGGGAAAATGTACGAAATGCATTACTTTCAAATTTATTTTTTATTGTGATTCAGTTAAAATATTGGCAGAGACTTGAAATTTAAACCGAAAACTGACATGGTTAAATTTTCAAAATATTTAAGCCATTTTTGAGCTATTTATAACAATTTTAATCTTTCTAGTTTTTCACGCAATTTGTATTCGGTAGGTACCTACTCTGGATATCAATATATATTATGCATATTTGCAAAAAATAGCATCAAAAATCTAAAATAATTGTATTAATACTGTAATGTATAATGTAATATAGTAGTACAATTTCACATTTAAAGTCCCTATTGCATAAAACAAATTTAAAGTTCACTCTGCTATTTTTTTATTTTTATCCTGTAATAGTTAGCAAATGCTATAAAACCTGAGCTCTAAATAATTAGAGCTCAGGTATAATTATTAATTAGTATAATTTAATAGAAATAACAATAATTATTTAAACATATTTTATTATACACCTCTCAAATAACCTTTATCCGATTCAATATTTATACCCGGTAAGAATATTCACTATAATGAGGTAAGTATAGTTATTATTATTCAAGGCTATGTACCGATTTGTACAATTAATTTTTGATTAAATAATAAGTAAAAAAAATTGCTTTTTTGGCTTAGATTGTTTAAAAATATAATAATAGTTGCGATACAAATATATTTACTAATCGTATAATGATTTACAGTTATAAAAACATGGAGCGACTTTTGTAAATAAAAATAAATAAACATTATAGTAAAACCAATACATTCCTTACGCAACTTAGAATCTAAAATTAGCTGGGACGTACAATTTATTTGTGACCCTCATTAATACATTTTTTTGTATTACTAGGTATAGTGAAAGTGTATATGATCCTATTGTGATTGTCGAATTTCTGTCGATTTGTATAGTTGTAGCATGTGTACAATTAAAAATGAATATTATTAATTCTTGATAAAAACATGTGGTTACATTATAATTATAAATGTCTAAAAAGATATAAAAGAGTATCTTTATGTATTATAACAATTGGTTGTGTAAAATAATAATTATTGTTACGATCTTTTCCATTAAAATTGGTTTTCTCTCCGTGTAAAAATGTTTTAAATATTTTCTAGAGTTGGGCGCGTGTTTTGGTTTTTTGAAATCGCAACCGTGTTCAAAAGTTGATTACTCGATTAACTCAACAGTTTTCCATTATACCAGCCTTACGTTCCTATATATTATTCAATCGCGATTTATTGTCCGTTTTTGTTGTTCCTGATGATTATTAAAATCTAAACCGGTCGTATAAGTGAACACGGATCAATTATTTTAAATTCGAATACTACGGCCACCTCGGGCAGTCCTGATTCAGTTTTTTTCGTGTTTGTTTATTTTAGATTCTGAACATAACGGTGGAAAGCTGTTATTTTTACTAAAATGTGTGTTATTTTTTTTTGGTTAGTAAAAAAGTTCTGGTTTTTCAAGCCGTATCTCAAAAAATGCTGATTCTTCGGCTAGAATGGTACTTTATTTTAGTATAAAATTACCGATAATTTCAATAATTCATCTAATTAGTCGCCTTTTTTGTTGCTTTCTGGGTTGCCTGAACAAAAGAAAAATAATACCTGGCTTTTTGTTTATATTTATTTTATTCGAGTAGTATAACCACTTAAATAATCATTTTTTTTGTTTTGTTTATTTTCTCAACGACATAATATTATTGTACGAGTTCATCGATGGTCGTGTTTTTGATATTTCGTACATGCACAGCGGTATCACGCCGCCGATTCATTCAATAAAGTTCGTCGCGAATTAAAAAAAAAAAAAATAATAATAATAATAGTTTTTATTTCATTTCTATGCATAAAAGACGGTAAAATAACAAGTTATGATTGCGTCGAAACTAAACGTTATAATATGCGTCACGGACCACGGTACGGTCCTTCACAGTTTTCGTTGATGTTTTTTTTTTTTTTAAGTTCTCTTATTTTTTTGCGATGGGCGTGGCTAGGGTAAGTTTAACTGTCCATGCCCGGCAATTCGCCGACTCCTTCGCAGTAAACTAACAACTATTACCGGCGGTGCGTTTACGGCTCTCAGAGTACGGCGCGAGCAAACGAGATATTATTTGAATCAATTTTTTTTCTTTAACTCTTAGTGTATTTTTCCTTTTTTTTTTTGTCATAGAACGCCACATTACGCACGTTATATTTTTCTCGTCTTCGCCGTCGTTGTTCGATTAATAACAGTGACATAATTTGAATAAATTATTTCCCCCCCCCCTCCGTATACATGCCTCCGATTTACACGTTTTTCTACGAAATTATTATATAACTCGATACAACGATAATCGCCCGCGAATAGAAATCGTCAGTAACGACCACAAGGTAGTGTATACCTAAATTATATTTATTAATGTCGGAATACAAAATAAATTATATTATCAGAGTATAATGTACATTTTTCTTATTAGTGTACGGTGTTGTTAATGCAATTGATTAATGGTTTTGTTTTTCGAAATTATATATTTTACACAATATTAGATTCAGAGTGTAGCGAAGAATGTATTGGTTTTACAATGATGTGTGTTTTAAATTCTGAGCGGAGAGAGGAATGTATTGGTTTTTCAACGATGGTTAATATAATTATTATTTTTTTATTTTAACACTTTTTCTACCAGAAAGCTTTCTCCGATTATAATGAGGAGAATCTGATTATTTAGGTTAAAAAAGATTGAATGATTGAAAAGAAGGTTGTCGTTGGCAATCGTTTTTATTTATTTTTTGTTATTATTAAGTTTTTATTATGTTAATGTTTTTAAATAATCATGTCATTGTCATGAAAACGCACATTGTTGAAAAAGCAAGACTATAGATCGAGCTATATTAAAATAAAATACATTTCGATTTCATTACTTTCTTTTAACTATTAATCTTTATATTATATTTCTTTATTTATTCTATACTCAAACATCATTATCAACTGAACTTCACTCAAGTTTGATTTTTCGTAAGCAATGGTTTATCGTTGCTTTCAGATAATATGCTGTATCCTACTCTCCTAATTTCACACCTATAACAGTGGCTGTATCCACGTGCAAAGTATGACCGTCTTTTTTTTCACGATCTGTGAAACACTTCCTCCATGAAATCTTGCTCTGATTTTCAAGTGTAGTACTTTTTTCTAAAAGGAAATTGTATCTGAGTGATGGTAATTTAAGAAGGTTATTTTTTGATTTTCCAAGTAGTTTTTGTAATAATTGGGAAAAACGTATCTAGGAAAAAAAGGGGAAAATTTACGTACATATTATTTAAAAGAAATTTCCCTCCGAATCGTTTTTCATTAGCATTAGTTTTTCGTTGCGTACAGATATAAATTAAATTCCCCTCTATATCTTACCTTCCTAACTTCTCACCTACAACAGTGGTCCACCCATTGTGCGAAGATGACCGTCTCTTTTCATTCTAATTCCTACGTATGTATAGATAATAAAATCTGTTATAAGATATCGTGAAAAAAGAACAACAGAAGTTTGAGATTTAAATAATATATATATATATATACACATTTTAATTTATAGTAATAATGCAATATAATTGGTTAGACATTTTTATCGATCGGACTACGGCATAGTACACCTATATACTAAGATTTATCGTTAGATAACCACTCCCCCCTCATCCTACACCCTGATCCATTGTTCGGTTATAAAATTGTAAATAATATTATATACGGATTTACTAGAGTGATATTCCAGCAGGACAATATTATAATAAATTATATATTATATTGTAAATATTCTTTAAATGGATACAAATATATAAAAAATGAAAATATTGGCGTAAAATTATAGATATTAATATACTAGTGTAAGATATTGTAATACCATCGTTCTATTTGATATGATCTTCTTTGGACTAAACATATTTCATCGGAATTTCAGAAATTGCTGCGACAATGTTTTCGTCAGTTTCCACGTGATTTTTTTTTTTCTGGGCGATTTCTTTCGTCATTAATTTTCTCCACGTTATTTTGTTTACCCGTTCGTTTTATCAATTGTAACACACGACCTTGAATGATTCGTGTAACCCATGACCTCTCTAACGCGGGATATTTTCGTAGGCAGTTATTTTCAAGTCCTTCCCTTGACCGCGCTGCTAAATACAACAGTTTATATATTATAGGCATTAACACGCAGGCAGTATTATTTCTTTACCGATATAAACATACTAATCATATTATAATGTATGCAACTATCCAATCGTAATAATAATCGTCGATTTCATATGTATATGTACCTATGTATTACGATATAATATATCGTGCACGCCATTTTGAATTTAAAAATAAGGTAATTATTTTTCGACTCGTTTTTTCATCTTATTTATTAACATTGTACGGCGGATCGAGTTACGCGCGATCTTACATATTATTATAATGTATATAACATTATGACGCGCACCAGTACACGCAAATACCTAGTTACAAAAAAGAAAAAATCGTTCGGTCGACAAGTAATATTTTTTTTTTTTTTTTATAGAAATACGTCGTATACATTACTGTAGCCGCAAATGTATAAAATACTTCAGTACCTATACATATGCACGTATAAATATGTATATTGTGGCGGTTAAATTGTAATGATTGAGTATACGTATAGGTATTATTGTAGTAGAGTCTAAATAACGCGTTGATGGATGATATCATTTAAAATCCACTCGGCCTTCGTTGTTATATCATAATCGTTTTTATGTTATTAAAATACACATTTTTCAATCCGAATGATTTTCAAAATATCGCGTAGTATTCCCGTGGTTTTCGTAGTTTTTTCAATAGACGTCCGATAAACCGACCGGTTTGGTAACTATAATACCTGCTCGTCTATTACACAGACGAACTTTTACTCGGACCATAACGCGTCCGCGTTCGGATACGACGACGACAACGTAGGTAAATATTATAAAAGCAATATTTCCCGTATTGTTTGTGTATGTTTTTAAAAACAAAAAACTGACATACCTACATTAAACGAACCAATAGGTGTATACATGTATTATATTGTGCTTAATTATTGTGTACTCCGAAAAGAATAAATATGAACGCAAAGCAATAGGTAGGTATACAATATTAATATTGTAATACGCACGTTTTTTTACTAAACGTTTCGTCTCTCAGCCAACTTGTTTAGACGGTTTTTGTTCGGCGTTACGCACAAAATGAATCACCGATTATTAAATAATAATATTCAGTTTAAATATAGCAATTTATATAAACAGCACACACAAGATCGTATCTAGGACAATAAAACCGTAGGGGAGGGGGAAGGTGATATTTCAAAACCATATAATTTATGATGAAAATCAAGCTCAGAGTATATTGTGACTATAAGACGTATAGTTAGGAGTGAACGGGGGGGGGGGTCAACAGGCCTCCCCCCTGTACTAACTGATCACATACATTTAAATCTAATTAATATGGTTAAAATTTAATATATAGACCGAATTCAGCGCGATGGTGTGAACAGGCTGTCTCACGAAGATATACCTCTTGAATATCTCCGGAGATATAAAAGATAATCAAATTCTGTTTTTTATAACACTTACAGGGATGAGAACTACAAATATTTATATTTGTATTCAATTTTTTTTTTTGTAAAAAAATAAAAAAAATAACTTAATTTAATTATTTTCGCAAAATGTTAAGATGGTATCTAGGGAATAACCGAACCGTGTCACGCGATAACATATTGGTTTTCACACGGATTAGTAGAATTTGAACGGTCGTTTCTTAGAAACTACTCATCAGATGTAACTATGTGATACATTTTGTAATAATTTTCAAGAAATAAACTTTACAGAATGGATACCTTAATAAGTTATTTTTTTTAAAAAAAAAAGAATTTGATTATCTTTATTATCTCCAGAGATATTCAAGGGGTACATCTTAGTGGGACGGCCTATATAATTCAAATTTTTTTTTTGACAAATTACAAAAAAAAAAACAACATAAAACAAATATTTAATATTAATATTATTTTAAACTATTTTGACCGATATTTTACCGATATTATATACATAGACAGTTTTTCTGGTTCAAATTAAGGGACAGTTTTTAGATTCTGAGCCCACCGAAGAATATATAATATATATTGGTTTTATTATGATGTGTATTTTTTTCATTTTTATTTTTTCTGTCGATTAATAACTTTTCTATCAGTTACATTGTTCCGATTCTCGCATTTCTTATGAAACAAAATGTTGTCTAGTTTGTGCGTTAGGTGATAGTTTTTTTTTTTTTATTTTATTTGCGGCTATCTTAATTAATGAGAAAAAACAGTAAACAAATTTTACGATAATAACGCGCAATATTATGCATTTTCACTTTCAATTTAATTTTCTTGTTGCAATTCAGTCAAAAACAGTCCTATTTAGAGACTTGAAATTTTTACCAGTGTGCAATGGTGTACTATTTCTTACGGGGGAGGGGAGGCGAAATATATTTCCACCCACTCTTAAAGTAGAAAATTCCTTAAAATAGTTAAATCACAAGTACAATTTTATTTATAGATACGAGAATTGTGCTCTTATATTTATAAAATATAACATTTTTATACATAAAAAAAAATATTTTTATTTAATTAAATATAATGTTATAATTCATGTTATAAACCTTTAAGTCTAACCTCCGGTTTTTCGTAGAAGAAAATCGTTCAATAATATCCGCAAGTATACCTACTATTTTCTGGTAAATATGTAACAGCGCAAGCCCATATAAGCGATCCTGGCACATTTATAACTAAAAATCAATGATAAGAGACAATGGTCGAATCGCCAAAACAAAATGATAACACCAGAAACCTTGACCAGGTTCGACCATGGATAACAAAACTATTTTAATATCTATGGATTTGATTATTTAATCTAACTAGGCAAAAACAAATAGCAATGCGCACATATATGGCTCACGGAGGGTGGGCGAATGTCTCCCTTATCCCCCGCGTCACTGATTTGCAGATAATACCTAAATTATCATATTCTAGACGTGTTAACATTTTGGTTTTAATACCGATATTTTCAGAGAAAAATGTCCATACAATATATTATCTGGTTGTTTATGAATAAAACGTTAAAAACAAAAATCTGATTTCAACACGGTTAGTTTCAACTCTCGCGGTTTTCGATTTAAAATATATCAGATCTGTTATATCGCGAAAAATCGCATAAAAATGTTATGTCTCGGTCGCAATAGTGTCGGAATATCGGACAAAAAAGTCATATCGGCTCACGACCGCCGCTAATAATTACTATTATGGCCGTCAGCGGTGTGTCGTGTCGTCACTTTGGACCGGGACGACAACGAGCAGAGCGTTGCACCCGTTTATCCGCTTCGAAATTTGACTCGGATTTCGCGTGTGTCAAACGACCGCGGATTACACACTATTGTGCGTGGCGTACACGGTCGCCAAAATTAATGGCGGTATTCAGCCCAACTACGTACGGCGTTTTTATTATATATATTTATATATTTTTTTGTTGTTAGAAGACACTGAGCGAGTGAACTGCCCGGAAAGATGCAGAGATAGAGATAGAGAGAGAGAGAGAGAAAGAGTGAGAGAGTGCGTGCAAACAAAACTAGGAAAAAACCGCTAAGGCGCTGGTGTTTGTTATTCCGCTGCAGCCGCTCGTTCAAAAAGCGTAGGTATGCGTGCACGTCGAATAAATTACATACGAGTATAGGTTAGTATAGGTATTAGAAAAGTCGAAAAAACACAACGAAAATACGGTCGTATACGATATAGTATAGTACCAAATACGACCGTGAATTTACGTATACACGACGCGCACGCACAAAGTATAAACTTATACTGATATAATTTCCATTGTGTAACACTATGAATAAACGATTGATTGTTATCGTATTTGATTTTCGTCTTCGTTTAATATTTACCATTTTTTACGATAATACCTACATACTTAACGTTTAAACTAAGGCCCGGACATTAGTATAATATAACAACGCTGAAAAATAACCGAGGACGACGTGAATCACATAATATCATACATTATGTACCTATAAATAACATTGTATACTATGAATTGTTAAATGAAGAAAGGACAAATGAGTTCAAATTTTAAAATTGTTCAAGAAAGAAAAAAAATAATTGGCGTTTATACAATCTAAAAACAATTTCATGTTAATAATTATTATTATAGTGTTAGATATAAACGTCCATATGTTTCAATGTAGTCATTTTATAAAATATAATAGAATTTTCGGGGCTTGAGAAATTGTATTGGCTTTTTTTAAAAATTCGAACAAGTCCCCCCTTTTTGCATTCATCGATACATATAGGTGTACCATCGATAATTATTATTTCTTATTTTAGTACCGTATTTATTTGATTAGAAAATTTTTCTTTACTACATTATGATTGTATCAGTTGTATTATTATACACAGGATGACAATTGTACTAATGCGTTATCGGCGCAATCGTAAATCATGCCGAAAACAACAAAAAAACCTGTAGTTTTGTGACGTTATCTGTGCGCCGTGGTACTCATTTCACATAAACAAGCTAACTACGCATTAGTGGAATTAACTTCCAGTTTTATTATTATGTTATATTGTAATGTATTTTGGTGTACTTAAATTAATAATTTAGACGACAACTAATTAAATATATTTTTTATATCATAGTTGTGATAATTTTATTATATCATCACTATAATCTGCCGATAAAAAAAAAAACAATATCATTTCAGAGTTTGAGCTCATATATCACTGAGCGAACTGCTAGAAATGTCCAAAAATAGCGGGAAAAAAATGTATAAGACACACAGTTATTCAGTGCGATTTTTTTCTATTTTTGGGAACAATTAAAAAAAAAGTTATATTCTAAATTAATACATAAATGGTGGTAGTAAATAAATAAATTAACCGACGCTGTGTTGGCAGCGACACAGTCGGTACATTTGCGACTAAGACCATTTTTATGTCATTTACAGTCATTTTCTTCGCAGGTATACCTAGGTATAGTTGTGTACCGTAACACTTGCGGTTATGATAAAAAATTTAACAAAATTAGGGCATAATTATACATATCATGAGTTATAAATATAATATTGCGGATTAGAATTATAAGTTAGAAAAATAAATAATTTTTTTTTTTTTATAAATTTAGTCTTTTATGAACTCAACCGTCATCTACATGTCTGTAAGCGGAATGTATGCAAAGGCAAACTATATCCGAATATAAAGACAAATGTTATCTCAATTTGTATACATTCAATCAGCCATACGTATTACGCTTTTATACGTAATTCTTAGTTTATTACAGTTTAAATACCTATTTGGAAATAAACAGTGTTATTGCTTGAATAGCTGTGACTTAAATTGAAATAGTACAAGGATTTAAATTCGAAATATGATGTTTTATAATTAATATAAGAGAAAAAAATTGATTATAAATGATTTGTGTTTTGTTTGGCATCAAAGCAAAAATCACAGGAATGAAGATTATTTCGTTTGTCTACTCCGTTGTTTTAATTTGTTTAGCGTATAATTTTTATAAACTATTATACATTTTTTTTATGCTGAATATTTCACTGCGTAGGTGGCCATGCACATAAAACTCGTGTTCAAGTCCCTTATTTTTCTCTGCGGGCGGCGTGTAATTTAATACAATAGGGTACCTACACGGATACACTACGAAAATACTTAAAACTCGACTTCAGCTGACGATGAAACGTGGGAATTTATTCGATAAGACATTTCCAATAAAAACCGTAGGGAAGAAAAGATACCAAAACCACCTGCAGAGAACCTGTGGCAACGTGTGGCAGCTGCATTGCCATACCGATAATAATAATAACAATATGAGTATTGATAGTCTGGACCTCTTATGACCGAGGGTCGTATTATATTTGTATATATGTACTATTATTTTTTTCTTTTTTGAGTTGGGTCGACATGCTTACGGATAATATATTGTCAAGAAGAACATAATCCCACACCCTATAATATTTTATACCGCGTACCGGTTTTAACATTACACGACTACAGGAGGCCGGATTCTTCAGAAGAAAAAAACGAAAACATTTAGAATGGGTATACTATACGGCAAACTGGTTTTGGTATTTTATCTATACGCCTTCATCAAAAGACGATGTTATTTTATAACCGAGCCCATAGTTTAATGTAATGTACTCGTATTTTAAAGATCTAACCTAGTAAGCCTAATAATATTGTATACGAGCAAATAAAGGACATAAATAAAAAAAAAGAGCTAATACTGGGGATGGGAGAGGCTACTGTTGTAGGCGAGAAGTTGGGAAGTTAGAATACATAAGGTTATTTCATTTATATCTGTAACCAACGATAAACCATTGCTTGACGAATAACGATACCGAGCGCAGTTCGGTAATACATAATTTGAATTTAAAGCGTAATTTTTTTTGCGATTTTTGTTTAAATTTAATTTCAAAACGCTTATTAAAAAAAAAAGTGTTGTTGAATGTTGTTTTTGGAAATTTAACCACGTTTAGGCAAATCCAATATAAGTATTATAACCAAGTTTCAAGTATCTACGTGTATTTATAACCGAATTAGAACAAAAAAACTACTAAAAATTAAAATTCCTTGAAAGCTCAAATTGGCTCAAAAGCTTCGGAAATGATACCGTAAGAAAGTAAATAAAATTACAATAAAAAAGGTATCTTGTGATTTTTCGATTAAATCATTTTTTCTGGTAGAAAACGTCGTCCGTGTTTTTATAAAATAATGAAATCGTGGAATCTTACGTTTTCCTACGTTTTTTTCCCACTTAAGTGCTTTTATTTAAAAAATGGCATCAGAAAAAAAAATGACCTTTTCAAGTAAAATTTAAATAACTTGTAATTTTAAAAAAGTTGCTACACATAAAAATTGGAGGATGTTTACTAGGAAAAAAAGTGTCCACAGACTAGAAGAAAAAAAAGAATGAAAGAAAGAAATAAATAAATAGTATACATTATAGCTTCTAATAGTTTTAGATTTTATAGAGTCTGATAGACGGTAATATCGATTCTATAGACTATGGTCTATTACTAAACAAAAAAAATACAGTAAAACCAGAAAATACGATGTCCGCTAACGTTTAAAATTGAAATGTCCGTGGTCGTAAATAAGAATATAATAACAAGCACAAATCAAAACAATTATTAATATAAGGCAGGGGAATCATATAGCAGAAAAAAATGTTTTTATAGCCTTGTATAAAATAATTTTATACAGCGTGTATAATACAATTGTAAACAAATAAAATATTATTATTATTTATATTATACATCTTTGCATCACTAGAAAAATAAATTCATTGCAAATGTTAAACTTTACTAACGTGTACATGCAACGTTTGCTCTATTTATTCAGTAACCTGACTGTAATCAAAACTGAGGTTGACATCAGATATAATTTTTTTTTCATGTACATTTAATAATTACTATTATTGATTGAATGATTAATTTAACCATTATTATTGTAATTTTTGTTATCATTTCGTTGAGTTATTGAAGATAAGTTTTACTGTGGTACCATTCAGGTGTTCTTTTTCGTAACAATAAAAATATTTTAAAACGCTACATTTAAATATTGATTCTTATCCCTTTCAAAAGCGCGAGTCTAGTTTATGAATGCTAAGTTATAAGTATTGTTTGAGTAGTACTCGTTTTTAGTAATTGGCCTTGAATACGACATTAAATAACTGCACGTATATATAAAACTATAACATTTTTAATTTGGTCAAAATGTCACTGTGAGGTGTTTTTGACAAACAATATTGCCATGGTAACTAATTAAAAAACGTATGTATTTGAAATTTGTATAAATTAAAAAACCACTTAATATACAATTTCGCCGTACACGAGAACATTGCTGGTCACCTTTACTGGGCACTATCCAATTGGTCATTTCACTCAAACTTGATATTTTAAATTTCACCCAGATACCCGTTTCGATCAGAGAATATTAAGTTGACAGCGGGTTTAAAATAATACTTGTACCACATTAAAATTATTTTAAATCACAATTTATTACTTTATACAAATTGAAAAATGTTATATTAAATACCTTATTCCAGAAAGTTCACATACAATCATAAATTGTTATCTATTATAGTTGCTAATTATTAGTAGTAATATATAAATCGATAAAAACAAATTATAGATTAAATCCAATAAAAAGGACGGACATACTTTGCACGTCGGTGTAACTACTATTGTAGGTGGGATGTTGAGAAGGTAGTATACAGACGGGAATTTAATGTATACCTGTAAGCAAACCATTGCTAACGAAAAAATGATTCTGAGCGGAGTTTAGTTAATAGCGTTGCTTTGTCAACAATATTTATGTCATATTATAGTAAACTGATTACAAAAATGTGCGTTTCCATGACAACAATGATTGTTTGAAAAAGATTAAAATAATAAAAACTTATTAACAGCAAAAATAAAAATAAAAACGATTGTCAATGATAATCTTATTTTTAATCTTTCAATCTTTTTTAACCTTGAGAACCTGGTTTTCTTCATTATCCCGAGTATTAATTAAAATTTCAAAAAATGACCTCTTCAAAGTACCACCCAGAGAATATTTCCTTTTAGGAAAGGTGCTATACTTGATAATCGGTGTAACCTTTTGGGTAGAAAGTGTTCACATTAAAAAAAAAAATTAACATCTTTGTAAAACCAATACGTTTTTTGTTAAACTCAGAATCTTAAAAAAATTAATACTTAGATAATTTAATAATTATAATAATTATACATTACTATTTTGTAATAAAATATTTCATTTAAAACAAAATATTTAGACTCGTGTTACATTTTACGGTGTATACGCTAATCGACGCTGAATGTCGCTTGAAGCTTTTAATTTTTTTGATGGACAGTGTAAAATATATTTTTTTTTATACCTACACTTGAAAAAATGAAACATTTTTCAAAAATTGTTTTTCCTATTTATAGTATGGTACACCAATATATTATTTATAATAGTATCAAAAACGATTTATTTGATGCCCAATATATAAACGTTAGATTTAATGTTGTTTTTTATAAGTACGTATAAACACGCATTACAGCTAGAATTATTTTTGGCTCAGTACGAGAGCAAATCGTATATATTAAATAATTTAAACGATGGGCGTTTTTATACTGTTGATATTTGTATTACGTACTAGTTTTATCATTAAATATAATATCAGTAAAACAATTAACATATATATTAAATATATACTATTTTATATTCTTGAATGTAAGTAGTTAAAAGTTTTTATAAGATCTGTTAGTTTTATTTTTCCAAACAGGTTTTTGGTGTTATTAAATATACTTCAAATTATTCACGTCATACTTTAAAATGCACAGGATTTCACCGAGTAGTACTTTATTTGAAATCAATTTCTTACTTTCCAACATGAGCAAAGATGGTTTTGCAATGATATTTATTTTTTTTAATTTTTTTTTTTGTATGGTAAAGCTTATCTATAAGAAATTTTGTTCCGATTTTCGAGGGTAACACTTTTTTTGAAAAAAACATTTTATCTGGGTGGTACATTAGAAAGGTAATTTTTTGATTTTACAAGCGGTTTTCATAATTGGGAAAAATGTAAGAAAACAGAAAAATTCACAAAATGTATTATTTTCAATTTTGTTTTTGTTGTGATTCAGTTTAAAATATTTATAATGACTTAAATTTTGGACTGAACATTTATATTTATATTTGAAAATTTAAGTTTTATTTTATTGAGCATTTATAAACATTTTAATTTCGCTAGCTTTTACGTAATTTTTATTTGGTAGATATTCCAAAATAAAATTTTTAGATCAGAATAAATGCTTAAAAATTAAACAGGAGGTTCATTATTTTAAGCAATATTTGTGGCGAAAAAAAAAACAAAAAATAAAATTGAATGTAGAGATTTTTTTTTTATAAGAATTTAGAATAAGAATACGAATTTTCATTGTAAGTAAATGTAAGTTCATGCCTGGTACGATTTTATATCGTGGTGTTTCCCACTACGGTTCACAAACCTCAAGTGCGGCGATTGCTAGTTAAATATATTATATATATGCATATGTTATATAGAAAGTCCTGAATTGTCAATAATGTACAGTGATGTACACATTGCGAAATAAAATAAAATACGTGAAACTATAATAATAGTTATTTTTTAAAAGTGTTTTCCTAATAAATATTACACATCAGTATATCATATAAAAATATATGTACCTATAGGTATACCTTACATATTAGTATACATCAGGGGCGGATTGGCTATCGGGAAATCGGGAATCTAAAAATACATAAAGCCTATTCAATTATTTTACTATAAAATTACATATATATATATTGTTGAGAAAGCATCACTATCAACTGAACTTCGCTCAGAATTGTTTTTTCGTAAACAATGGTTTATTGTTACTTACAGGTATACATTAAATTATCTATAACAGTGGCTGCACCCGTCTTCCATTATCCTAGGACGTCTTTTTATAATACATTTTTAAATTGTATGGTTTGTACAATGATTGTTGTATCTACACGTCGTGAACTGTATAATGTAACTTGTACAATCTAGTTATTTTGTACAGCAACATTGTACAGTTCGCAATTCGTATAATAATTTTTGTACACATCGCGACTGTACAATTCCAGACTTTGTGTGCAATATATATTTTTGAATTTCACCTCTTAGTTCACTTATTTTAAGAGTGAAATTTAAAAAAAATACTTCCTTAATAGATCAGTCAGTGAATCAGTTTCTTCTCTAATTTATTCAACAAAATTCAGTGTTCAAGGTTTCTAATCTGTTTATTCCACTTTTATTAATTTTAGAATCGAAGTCGATAACCGGCGGAATCGATATTTATAAATGTCTGGCGGAGTCGATAGAGATCGATATTAAAATGGCAGAATCGATAAATCCTCTCACACCACTATGCGAATTTTGCAGTAGTCGAATTTGTATAAGACACCCTGTAAATCAACAAATATAATTCGATCATCGTTCTGAAATCTAAAAATGATCAAGTCATTCTTTATAACGACTAGCCAATATGCGTCGTCGTCGTCGATGAGATATAAGTTTTTGGTGTAAAATGTAAAACCTACACCTGCTATTGCCTGGACCTCCCGGCTTGAAAACGATATAATATTATACTCGTGTTATATTGTATGTCTTTCTGCGGGAGGTTAGGTTAGTGGCATAGACACATTTCTTCGAATAAGCATTCCCATTATTATACCCACAGTCTACACGTGTGACACACATACACGCACACACACAATCCTCTCTGAAAATCTAAACAACCTGTTGATTTCGAAAGAATAATAATATTCTATACAATATGTACCATTACTACTGCACAATATGCATTATATAAGGTACGATATTAAACGTTTTATCGGAATAATACTCAGTGCACGGTTGGTATTCAATACTATATAGATCCAAACCCATTGGGGTTCCGAAACGCCAGTTTTAGTGACGTCCCTCAATACGATTGTACGATAGGTATACAGATACTCATTATATGTGTATTGCGCCGAACGTCCTAGTTATCTTTAATACCTATACGTTTGTATAATATACTATATCAGTGGTTTTCAACCTTTTTGGGCCACGGCTCTTCGGATTTTGAAAACTAAATTAGCGGCTCTCTTACGAATAATGATGTAAAAGAAAAAAAAAATGAACAAATTGACTGTATTACTGTACTATATTTACTATAGACGCGGCTCCCTTAATAATAAAGCACGACGCCTTTGGGAGCCGCGACGCACAGGTTGAAAACCACTGTACTATATGTTTAATTTATAACATTTTGACCTTGATTCCACGAAAAAACCAATCCGTTAAACGCGTTCATTATAATATGTTGATTGATCGATGAACTGTATGATAATAATATTATAATCACAATAAATTGGGAACTTGTAGATATTAAATGCCGAGTGAAACTGGGAATTTGTATGTGAATTTATTATATGATGTGTTTCTTTTCATATTTATAAATAACTTTTCAACCAGAAATCCTACGCCAATCAATAACGTAGGATTTTCATTCTAGTCAGTGAATTGAGACGGCCATTTTTTTGTTATTTACCTAGCATTCTTCTTAATAAACCGGAAAAACTACTAATTTTTCGTATAATTTTTATTGATTTCTGAATTAACTTGGCAACGAGGAAAAAAAATCCGATCAATAATACTCTGCTCAGGATCCTTTAGAAATTATTTATTGTCCTGCACAGATTTAAATTTCATTACTCTATATATCTTCCCTTGTAATTTCTTTCATATAAGCAGTGGCATACCTATCAGTTGCAAATCAGTTTGTTTTTTATTTCATTCGTGTCCTCAAAGTAATCCAGAAATCAACCGGAAAGCATTTCTGATCTTATCCTATTTAAAATATAATACTTATATGAAATTGATCAAATAAACATGTTAAATCATAGGAAAAAAATATTGGCCAGGGTCCAATTTATTGTCCGTGTAAAAATTATAACTGTGGCCGATTGTCCGTGCATACGGCGTTTTTTTTTCGCGTGGACCAATAATTATTGTGTCCATTTACCGTAAAGCGAATAGACAGACATAAAGACTTTTAATTTAATACTGAAGAGGTTCACAGTAACCATATCACGGGCAATTTATAACAAAAATGTGTTTTCTTACTGATAGATCTAATAGACTTAAAACATTAATGATTTCAACAATATTCAAGAAAACGACAATATTTACTATGTTTTCATATGATGATCTATTTCCCAATCCCTTCGTACTTCAAACTTAGAAAAAGAAAAAAAAGTTCATAATTTAGTTATTTTAATTGAAAGCTGTATGATGAAAAAAATCTCTTTTTGAAAACATTGCAGATAATATTCCTTTTGGTATTCAATCAGATTTTCATTTTCGACTTGGTGAGATAATTTTTGTTATGCATACACTAGATCTTGAGCATTACCTATGGTTAATGGTTAAGTATGAAAACACATTTTTGCTGTATTGTCCGTTCGATGAACAGAAACCCTCTTATAAGATTGTTAGTACTCAAATATTATTAGGATATTCGGGTCTGTTTTAACGGTTTTGTATGTATAAACAGAAACTTCGCAGGCATTATAATAATATAGTCGTCATGCGTAATATTATTCGATAATCAAGTTAACTTCTCTATGTCGTTTCTATTTATTCAGTTGTGGTCATAATACGAGTATAATATTTAACATATTCCATTTTCGATAAACTAAAAATTGTATTATTTATTACACGTCCGGAAACCGCGTTATAAGACGTACAATATATCCGATCAATAAATAAAGAACGGTAGGGACGTATAAATACCAGTAATAATTTTATGCTATACCATATTAGGTTCAGAGTTCAAATAATGCGCACGCATTGAAAAAAAAATTACATATATATAAATATATATTACACTTACACGGTCTGTGAATAATTATAATTATAATATTTTTTTTGTTATCTTACGCAATTATTGTTACTTGTTGGCGTACATCCTAAACGCGTTATCTTGTTTACACGCGTACGTACACATTCATACATTATTATACAAATCTATGTAGGCTAGCGCCCAGCTGCAGTAACAATATAGATACGCACAATATAATATTATTATGACAAGAATAGTCTCGTTTCTTAAAGAACAAAAAAATTACGCGCGCGTTGGCCGAATCATTATTCGTTTCTTTTATCGGATTTTACAATAACATTGCGCGCCTACTGTTTCGGTGTATAGCGAGCCATGATAAATATTTGTTTTTCTGAAAATATCTCCGAATATAATATTATATAATATAATATCGTAGTTGAATTTAGATGAATTTAAAATCGTCTTGAAGGTTATAAAAACTCCCGTATTAAAACAAAAAAATTGTTGACGCGTGTCCGTGCGTTGATATTATACTATTATTATAGTAACACGGTATACAAATGTTTTTGGAGTTATGGAGCTTCCTTTACAAAACTTACTCCGCACCATGACGTGCAGTTTAGAATATTTCTACATTCTATAAAATATTTGAGGTAATTTAGTATATATATTGTCTGAAATGATAAATTATTGCAAACAAAAAACGATTCTGAGTAGAATAGTATTAATCGTATTTTTTGCTTGTTGCTAATCTAATACAGAAATAATAAATAAAAAAAATCGATTTAAAAGTGAACTGTTGAAAATATCGATACATTGTTTCAAATAAAATACCACCGATCGGAAATTGCGAATCATTTAAAGTATCTATTGTGTAAAAAAATTGTAGAATTTTAACCAACTGAAAAAGTAATATAAAGGTTCATAACTATTAATATAAATCTTTACTAGTATTATCATTATTTTTTTAAGTATCTATATATTATTTATGTCACACCCCGGAAAGAATAGCGACACATATAAAAATATGAAAATGCTAAGAAATCGACTTTAATTGTTTCGTAATTCATCATAATGTTCTATAACTTATTTGTCCCATTATTATACGTAATTGTTAATCTTGAGACATGGCTTATGTTAGGTCAGAAAAATATCACATCTCAAAAATGTCAAAACACGACTAATAGAATTCAAAATCGTTTTTAATTTGCAACAATTTAGTGTTTCATATCAATAAATAAACTAAATAATCTTAACTATCTTCCTAACTACACGTCTACAACAGTAGCCTACTTTTTTTAAGGTTTTCAGTCTTTTTAATTTATGAAATACCTATATTATATAAATAGCTTTAGTGCAAATAGCTAATACTGAGGACGGGTATGCCACTATTGTTGGTAGGAAGTTGAGAATCATAGGGTACATATATGCGTTGAATTTATATCTGTGCACGCAACGATAAACTATTGCTAACGAAATATGATTCTGAGCGAAGACCGGTCACATAAGTTTTTACGATTTTTATTAAAATTTTATCTAAAAACGCTTATAAAAAAAAACTATTACATTACACTGATTTTTTTTATTACCACTTTAAGTACAATTTATAAATTATAATGGATCTCGTGTTAAATTGTCAAGCATTTCTGTTTTCTCTAACAATTTTATCCACATAATATCTTTATTTATACCAAATAAAATTAAAAAAAAAAAACTAGAAAATGTAAAATACTTATAAATAACTGAAAATATAAAATACTAATACAAATATTATTTGAAATTATTTTCAAGACCCTAAGAACAATTTCAACCTATTTAAAAAAAAAAAATCGAAAATCGAAAATAACGTAACCATTGATGTTGTAAACTTTTCTGTATTACTTACGGTTTTTTTGGTTTTTTCTAATTATTATAAAAACTAGTTAGAAAATCTAAACATAACTTTCTTACTCACCAACTAGATCCAAAATGCAACAATAAAGGCCTTTTGTCACTTTTTGATTTGATTAAGATTTCCGGTAGGAAAATTTTGTTCACTGGCATACATCATAATATTAGAACCAATACATTTTTCGCTCCACTCTGAATCTAAATGGAGCAGGTAAAAATGTTTTTCAATTATTATTTCGAACAGTGACACGTAAAATAAAATAAATAATATTACATATCATTTAGGTTATTATAAACTTACATTATGTAAATATATTCTGTAAATAAACACATTAATTATTCAAATGACTGTAATATGAAATCGACTAGAATAAATTAAATGTTTTTAATAAACGAAGTGCTCGTCGTATTTCACTAGACTATTATTAAGGTTTTTGATAAAAAGAATTAATAACATTATTATAATATACCTACTACCGTGTGGAATAATACCTACACTCATAATAATACTAATTATTATTATCACCAAATTCGTATTCGTTATTTTTTAATGTCCATTAGTATTTTTTTTTTTAAAAATTGTTTTTAACATTCAATCGCACATAACTGCAGCACATTTAAAATGTGCCGCTATAACATTAAAATTAAATTCCATTTTCTGTTTTTTTCCCTTCCGAGTACGTTTACCTATAGTCGACTTTGTGGTTAATGCGGTTCAGAATTCGAAAGAAACATCACATTAAAATACCTGTATATGTATGATTTTTTACACAAAGTGCGTGCACATTCTTTGACGTGTATACCTTTCCTTATATATTATAAGTGTTAGTTATACACGAACTATAAATTAACTAATTAGTTCGCATTAGGGGAATTATATAATTCGACTCGCCATTGGGTATCGTTTTTAACTCACAGAATTTGGCCAATTGTCGTAAGTATTATAATAAGTAATAGCGTATTATGATTTTGCCGTCATGGTTTTTAGTACGGCATTATATTGTTAACGTCGTCATAGTTTCAGTTACTTATTAGAACGTATAAGTAAATAATATTATGTCTCCCGAAGTAATAATAATTAGACACAAATTATTATATTGTAGATCGTTTATAAATAATTATAATTATTATTTGTTTTTCAAGTAGTTCAGTGAAAAACTATAGGTATATAATTATCGGACGTATAGTGATTGAAAATGTCAACTCCCCCCCCCCCGTACGTTTACTAAAATACGCGTAATTATAATAATAATATTATCATTTTACTATCGGGATGTGACGTGGGCATATTTTCAGATACCTACTATTAATATTTGAAAAATAGCCAATATTTCTATTTAGACGAGAAAGATAATAAATTATGTATTTCAACTAAGTGCTACATACTTAATGTAATATATCTACTCTAAAGCTGAAGGATAATATAATTTTCAGTTATCTGGATAACATAATTAAAGATTAATAATATATTAAAATAATTCATAAAAAGATAAACGAAAATACTTTGCACGTGGGTGGGCTCAGTGACATATCAGGAGCTCAACCAAAGAGGGGGCAGTTTAAAAATTGCAATGTACACCATAAAATACCACAAGGGGCTTCTACGTCCAAAAAAAAAAGAAAAAAAAGGTGTTTAGGTATAAACCATAATTAATAATATACAAAACAAAAAAATGTATGTATTCCGCGTTTTGCCCGGACATTTCTGAGATTTACACGATTTCAGCGTTCACCCTTAACGGCCGTAACATAATATACATAATATGTATAGTGTATACTTTATATTATATTCATATCGAACAATTCAAGGCAATATTAATCTAGTTTTCTGTTACAAACCAATCTATGATGACTACTATTTGGACATTCACATTGATATCCCTATATATATTATAGACAAAAATTGCCCTAGTATTATATCATTATCATTGCCTTTTAGTATTGCTGATAAAAATACCCAAGAAATAATAAATAACAGGGTTATAAATACTATATTATTTAATTGTCTATAGCCTATAGCCGTGATTGAAGAATTACAGCCAAAAAATTCCAAAGAGCGGAAGACCCCACATCGCCAACCTCACCAAAATAAGACACTAGATGGGCTACTGTTATTAGTGAAAAGTTAGGAAGGTAGAGGGGAAATTTAATGTATATCTGTACGCAATGATTAATCATTGTTAACGAAAAACGATTCTGAGCGGAATTCGGTTACATATATTTTAAAAAGCCATATTTACGATTTGAAAATAATACATTTCGTACATTTTTCTGGTTTTTCACTATTTCTACCCCAATGTGATCTCAAATAATTTGTCAATAAATTCTCGTGTAATAAGATAGAATAAATAAAATCCCGTAATAAATTAACTTATTAATTTTAGACAGTAATGGAAATTATATTTTTAGTATATTTTTAATACTCGTATGTTTTTATTGATTTTAATTTCTAAAATAATTTATACTACTACTTGGTTTCTGTGAATAGTCTTTCACGTTTTTCCATCCTGTTTATCTCAATATACCTTAATTCACCATCAACACATTTAAAACTGTTAAAGATTATATTAAGATACACTATATCTTAATTCTTGATTTTATTTATTACAATTTATGTAAGTAATTATAATATAAATAACAAATAATTCTGTAAACTTTAATTCCACAAAACCCATATATATCATTAAATTTTCATTCTTTCATTATCTGTGAGTGAGATCTTCTGTTATTATATCATAAAATACTTTTTTATATGAATCGAAATTGATTTCATTTTGTAATAATAATTGTTAATTGTATTTAATTTACTTAAATTCGTATACATAATATTTACGACTGCTTCACTATATCGAAATGTTGACTTGAAAATTATCTGTTATTAGGATATTTATTATATAACAATTTGTAACCTCAATAAATTTGAAACTGTTAGTGGAACATCAGAAAATCAGTTTTTCTAGAGCGGTTTGTTAAAAAACTTCTACCAACGTCAATAGGATCTAAACATTTTTAAAACTAATAAAAAAAAGAGCTGATCTTGGGGACGGGTGTGTCACTCTTATAGGTGGAAAGTTGAGAAAGTTGGATACATAAAGTTATATTTATATAACTTATATAAGTATAATTTTATCCGTAGAGTACCTACCTACCAAATATAAATTACGTGAAAAATTCGCAAAACTAAAATGTCTATAAATAGTTTAAAAATGACCCAAAATATGGTTTTAAAAATTTTAGCGCATCTAGAAAAGTCAAATATAAAGTTTCTGTCTAAAATTTCAAGTTTCTAAGAATATTATTATCTGAATTATAATAAAAACAAAATTGAAAATAATACATTTCGTAAATTTTCCCGCTTTCCTACGTTTTTTCCAATTGTTATGTAAACTCATCAACTAGATTAAAAATTTAACAAAAAGTTTTCTTATCATTTTTCGATCGAAGAAATTTTTCAGTTCGAATATTTTTTAACAGACAAAAAAAAAAACAACTTCGAAGTAAAACCAGTAGATCCTTCTTTCCACTTCGAATTTAAACTATAATGCCAATATAATATTAAAATATTTATTTTTTATTGTTGTAGGTGTGCTCACTAATATGGACTCAAAGGTGTTATTTTTTTTTACAGATTTAGTGTACCCGAATGGTGTATTTGTTTATACCCAAACGTGTTGCATTTAAGGTTTATAATGTAATAATTTTTTTATGGTTACAAATTGTTGCAAAATATAAGATAACATAAGACAGGAAGTCGAGATTTTCATTATTTATAGGCAGTGGTACTTGAAATACATTACGCGCCATGTGGACAATATGTAGTGTAGGAGTCACACTGTGGCATCCACACTTGAATAATTGTTTTTCTAGCATTTTAGAGCGATTACATATATTTTTTGATCATTACAAGGTATTGCATATGCAATATGCATTTTTAAATAATAACATAATATAAAAGTAGTCACAAGATGACATTTTGACACGGCGGTGTTTGCAGGGTGACGGACCTGCTGTGAAACCTGTTTGAGAAAACGGGAATTATTTAAAGAGATTATTCATACATACATAAGAATGTGGACATAGACATTAATTGTAAATATTTTGAAAATTATTGTTTATCTAGAAAGTATGGTACGACGGAAACTACAGCAGCATGTATACCAAGCCAGGGATACGTCGTCAAAAGGTAGTCGCGTGATAGTCTGTTGTTTCCGATTCGGATTGCCGCTATCGTCGTCGTAATGGTTCGCATATACGTGTCCGTTTGGATCGTGGCGTGGGCGTCCAGTGTAGTTGCGTCGGCGATTATCGGTGGTGGTGGCGCTAAGGTAATGAAATGCTGTCCTAGAGATATGATACTGAAAACTGACATAAGCTCATGTGTGGACTACGTGGAGGACAATAAGAGCCAACACGATTCGTTTGACGTCGGCGACGGTACCGGCCGCGATATCACTTCTGCGACATTAGACGAAGAACTCATACTGCCAGTGTCCAACGACAGCACAGGCAGCTCCATACCCTGGTAGGTTACGTATAGATGCCACAATATTTTTGGTTTTTTAAAATTAATATTTACTTTCCAGTATTCGCTGTAAGTTTCACAGGTTAGATTACAATTCCGTACGGATTTTTTTCACTGTTACGATTACGTATGTTTCACGTGTCCCAAGTTGATGCAACGCTGCCGCTGTTACTCATTTACGTTTCGAGTACGATTCCGTACGTTCATTTTTTACTACCGCGATTGCCTACAGTTTATGGCGTCACGGCACCAGGGCACCACGTTGTATCTAAAAGACAGAATTGAATTATTACTCTACATATTATTCGATTTGCCTAATTAAAAATAAAAACTGAAAACCAGTTAAAATTAAATATCAAACGTTGCTCAATCATATAATGAGTTTCCTCTATTTCCTATAAAAATCAATGAGTAATAAAATACTATACACTATCACATACCAACATTTTGAGATAAAATGGCGTAAATGATAAATACACACATGTCTGGTTTACGCGATACTCCAAGTGCATGCGTTTTTATTTTTTGTGAATTTAATAAATTGAATGGAGAATAATTTAGTGAAATTATTATATCAGAATATGGGAAAGAGGTTTACACAAATATCATTTTATACGGAACCGAAAGCACGGTTTAATTAAGTGGTTGTGCATAGACAAAACATGTTACGACAGAATTTTGACCAATGCCAATAAAACACATGCCAGCTTGGTAACTGGTGAGTAAAACTACGAACCGAACACATTTCAGAAAATTAAACGTCAGATACTTCTCTCCGTGGTGCAAAAAACTTGTATAACTAGGTAATTGGTATTAAAAATATAAGCATGTTTTGTGTGTAAAATGTTGAGGATCCTGGTTTCGTATGCGTTAACAACGTTGCATTCATTTTTGTGTGGAATCGAACTACTTTATGGGTCAGATTGTGTAATAAATCTTTTTATCAAACTCACGGAATAGTACCTAATACAAAAAGGTACAAACGTACAGAATCATATATTTACGTTATAGTTTTTGTACTTTTAATGTATTCTATTTTTTTGCCAAGTTCCAACATCACACTGTCTGCACTTATACACTACCTACTTGTGTAATATATTAGTATAATCTACATGTTACAAGTATAGATGACAAGTTTTTGCAATCTGTACTTATCGATGATATGAAAATCCTATTAATTTTAGGATGCTCTTGACAAACTATTCGACTCTTTTAGAAGTTATATTAATATTAATGCATTTATTATAATATATCAAAATTATTACATTTTGAAAATATTAAAACAGGTCAAAACCCAATACAATTTATAACAAATTATTTAATAAATAAATAAGATTATTAAAAAAATAATTAAAATATAATATAAACCAATTCCTAATTTACTTTATCTTTAGAACTAGAGTGTAGCGAAGGATCTATTGGTTTAACTATAATTTTTTTTTCTGTTTATGAACAACATTTCTTCCAGAAAATTTGCTCCCAAGTAGACTTTAGTACCTTACTTAGGCAATTTTCTCTAGTTAGTGCACTAAGGAAGTCGTATTTTAATTTTCCAAGGGGTTTTCGAAATAATCGGGAAAGACCCTAAAGAAAAGTATAAAGTAAAAGGGCAAATATTTATTTACAGCACTCCGTGGCGTTACCGTTTTCATTTTTATGATGTTAACACAATGTTTTCTACCAGGAATAATACTCCAAAAATGGCAAAAGATCAACTTTGATTCTTATAATATTTCGCTACTGTTAAAGAAAGTAGTTTTTAGTTTTTAGATTTTAATCTAAAGTAGTCTTTTCAATAATTAAAAAAAAACTAAAAAAGACGAGGTATACGATTTTTTCCAAATTAAGATATAACGATTCCATTATTTTAAATGTTTACGGCTTATGTTATGTACTATAAACATTGCTCCAGTAAATATATAAAAGAGATTTTTTATGTTGAATTTTTAATTTAGTTCATGAGTAAGTTATTCGTATTTTATTTTGTCTAATTTTTTTAGTAATTAGGAAAAACTGAAAAAAATGTAAATTTAAAACTTACGGCGTTAAGATTTCATTATTTTAAATTTGTACGACTTATGTTTTCTACCATAAATATTGCTCCAATAGTAAAACAACTAGTGGTCTATTTTGTGGAATTTTTAATCTAATTGGTGAGGATGAATGTCGTTTTTATATAAATTGAGCAAAATCGTAGAAACGATGGGGAAATATACAAACATACATTTTTTATTATTTTAAATTTTGTTTTTTTAATGTAATTTAGTTTAAAATATTCATAAAGACTTAAAATTTAGACAGAAAACTTACACTTTCATTTTCTAGACTCAGTAAAATATTTGATTCATTTTTGAGCTAATTTTAATAGATATTTTAATTTTGCGATTTTTGTTCGTAATTTGTATTCAGTAAGAACTCTGTAGGTAAAATTGTTAGATAAAACAGAAATCCCTGAAAATATAACAGGAGGTTCCTTATGTTTCGCAATTTGAGGTCAAATTTTTTTTTGAACTCAATGTATTTTTTTTTTTTAAATATTATCAAAATTTGACGAAAATGGTAAATATTACGACCTTTGAAAACATGTGTAATCGAACTTCGCTCTGAATCGTTTTTCGGTATAAAAAGGTCATTTTGTAATTTTCCCAGGGGTTTTTGAAAGAATTGTGAAAAACCCGAAAAAAAATTACAGGTAAAATGGAAAATATTTACGTTACTCCGCAGCCTTACCGTTTGTTTTGATTTCATTGTGCTTACAAAATAAACAACAAAAGACCTTTTTTGTTTTATTTTAAATCTAGTTCATGAGTATGTTATTCATTCATTAAATTTTCTAGTAGTTTTCGTAATAATTGAAAAAATTAGGAAAAAAAAAAATGTTATCCATTATTTAAAATTTGAATGGCCTATATTTTCTACAAAAAATATTGCTCCAACAAGATACATTTGTTTGTTGAATTTTTAATCTATAAATCTTTAAATATGTAAATCTTATCATTTATTTAATGACTCGAGGCATTCAAACAACGTCAATATGTGGTACTGGCAGTAGGTTGAATAGATTCCTTGTTTTCATTGAAAACATTTAAATTTAAATATTAAGGGTTACTGTTCTGGTCTCACATCCAGCGTGTCTGGTCACTAAGTTTTATGAGTGACGTGGCTGACTTGATGATATCATTATTTGTGAAAACATTAATTTATTGTTATTTTATTGTGGTGGTGGCACCATAGTTGCACTGCCATGACGACTACTTGTGAAAGAGGTTTAAATCTTAACATATTTCAAATTATATTTACTTTTGTGGTGTGTACAATACATAATTATCAACAAATCCACATTTTTGAGTTAAAATAATAATTTTAATACATAAAAGAAGTTTATTGAGCAAAAAATTTGCTCAATTAAGTTTATTATTTAGTCCAATTCTGCAACATAGAAGCAAGTTTTGAAGTGGCAATGGTTACAAAATCTGATTTAACTACTTGACTGGTAGATTGTAACGATGTTTGTGAGTTAGCAGTATCCAATTGAAACTAAAAAGAATACATATATTATATGATACATGTTTTAAAAATGTTAAATTATTAGTTTTTAAACTTACTAATTCCCATTCGTCTTCAGAATCTTCGAGAGTATTACAAAATTTACTGTCAGTATCTGGTGGTTCAATTCTAAAATTGGAATAAATAAAATTAGGTTAATTAGATATTTATAAAATATAAATAGTGATTTTTTTTTGTTTGTAAATAAACATAGTTTAGATAAACTAAAATATTAGAAATATAATTCTTTTTTAAATTTTACCTTCCTAGATCACTAACAGAAGTGTCTAAAAGTAGCATCACATTTTTTAGTGTGTGATCAGCATGTAATAATTTGGGGTCAACATTTTGTTTAATACACAAATTAAGGATATTTTTATTTAAGAGGGAAACAGCTTTTGAAAATTTGGTTTCATTTAGTTCATTACCGCAAAAATCACTGGAAATAAATAAAAATTAAATATAGGTCATATTTTAATTATTCAATTTAATTTTATACATTACATATAATTTGGATGTTTGGGTAAATAAATGTTTAGGAAAAAATAAAGTTGCTTTATAAACTGTGATGTATATGTCAAGGACGCACCTATTGTATGTGCAAAATTTGGTTCAGTAATCTGTTGTTGAAATACATAATCCCTATTCTTATTTGCAACAACTGGCACAGAAACAAAAATGAAAATAATATTATAATATTGCAATAGGTACAGGCTGTCCCACGAAGATATACCCCTTGAATATCTCCGGGGATAATACAGATAATAAAATTATGTTTCTTTTTTTATATTACTCACAGAAATGAGGAGTACAATTATTTATACATAAATTAACTTTTTTTCTCATCAAAAAAAATTACTTTTTATTTTATTATTTTTGGAAAATTGTAAGATAACCATTATGTAAAGTTTATTTTTCTGAAAATTTTAATGTATAATATTGATTATTCATCCATTATTCATATCATACATTTTTTAGTTTTTACGTAACAGCTGTTTTAAATTCTAATAATCCGCTAAAAAAAACGGATGTTATCTAAAGAATAACCTAACCATATTACCGGAAAACATAGGTTTTCATACGAATTTAAAACGGCTGTTACTTAGATACTATTCATCAGATATAAATGCGTGATACATTAAAATTTTTAAAAAAATAAACTCTACAGAATAACTGTCTTAACATTTTCTGAAAATAATAAAATAAAAAGTTATTAAAAACAAAAAATAAATGTAAATAGACATATTTGTAGTTCTCACCCCTGTAATTAATGTAAAAAAAATATAATTTGATTATATTTATTATCTCCGGAGTTATTCAAGGGGTATATCTTCGTGAAACAGCTTATACATAGTTTAAGTTAATATATTTATTTTAAATATATACTCCATTCAGTATAAGAAGAATAATCTCCATTAGCGGGTAAAATAGATTCTACAATCTGATACCCTGTAAATTCGGTTTGTTTAGATCGAGTATCACGTGTTTCTACCCATTTACCACAAATATAGGTAAGTTGTGAAGCTTCGGTTAAGGCATGAGTAAGGTTACTTGAACTAGTAACAGCATTACATGTTTCATTCCTAAATAACGATAACAATTTATTATTAATAAAACACTTATACAAAATAGAAATTATGTTTTCAAAAAAATCTATGTAAACCATTAGATAAATATTATTAACTTATTAAAAATTATACATATTATATATAAATATAAATTATATAAATACTGTACACATTTCACTTACGACAAAATAGCTGATGAATCGTGTACTTCATTCAAAGTGAAAATGTTACAACGTAATTCTTTAATTCTTGTTTGAATGAGTTTTTTTAAATTTGGTCTAATAGCTGAAAGTTCGTTTATTCGTTTGTTTAAAATAGATGATTCTTTTTTAGCAAATATATCTATATCTTCTACACTTTTTTTAAGCTGAACGGTTTTTGTTGTTTTTTCTTCTATTTCTTTTTTTAATTTGGCTAGACGACTTTTTTCTAAAAAAAATATATATATTTCATATTAATAAACCTAAATGTATTATAGTACAGTTTGTTTCTATTTCTATAAATCATTTGGAAATTCTTACTATCTGTTATACGCATGTTTTTTTCAGATACTGCAAGTTTTAGTAATTTAATTTTATCTCGAATTATTGCAATTTCATTTTTCTGAAAAATAAATTAGCAAGTATTTTACTCTGTACAACTATATTGGATAGGTACCTAATAAATTGTATTAGGTACCTAATACATATCCAATCAATTTTTGTGAATACTAAAAATTTATTAGATAATTTGTGTGGCTACCTTTAAAGCAGTGCATTTTTTTTCAGGCAAAAACATTTTTTCAACTTCGCATTTTTGAATTATGGACGATTTTGAAACAGTTTTCCATTTTATTTGTTTTTCGGAAAATCTATAAACGTATAAATAAAATTCATTAACGTTTAATTCAAATCATATTGCATTGAAGAAAACTATAAATATTTAAATATTTGGGCTGGTGCAACTAGTAATTTCGACATTCTGAAGATTTCAAGAACTCAATAAATCCAAAGTAAAAGTTTCGGAGAGAAAAAAAATGAACTCGTTATTTGGGAAGTTGGAAGTAAACTAGGCTTGTATGAGTTGTATGAGATTTCGAATCCCCGAAGATCTAGACTCCTCTATTACAAATCACCAGGAGCTGAATTCAACAGTCATACACATAGGTACTTATTAAAAGAAATTTATTTCAAAATGATCAAATTATTAAACCCAATTACTCGTATTACTATTAAAATAGTTAGAACTGTGTTATTTTATCACAAGTCGAACAAAATAAAATTTATTCATAGACATACAATTTTCACAATAAGAGTATAATATACAAACTAGTTCTTTAAAATTGTATATGACAATAAATTTCGCTATAAAATATTAATCATATTTTTGGTTTGGATATACGTTAATATTGTTCGCGCGAAAATTATTCGTATATGATCTATATGTTAGTCTACCAGTGACAATATTAAATTAAAATTGTATCGATAACTTTACATTGTCAATCTTTATGTGGATTATCTAATGAGTCATGCGATAGTATCAATAATATAGGTAGCTAATACTAATATTCACATAACACAAATCCATGCAACGTTTAAGCAATTAACATTCACCAGTATTTTGTCAGTTTCAATTAATTTTTAAGTTTTGTTTTATATTAAATTACAAATGGCTTTGAAATATATAAAAAGTGACCGGGATTTAACAAGTAAAAATTTAGCAGTATGTTGCCGGTCAAAATCCACCAAAAAAAATGTATCATAAAAATGTTAAAATGTTAAAAAAATGTTTGCAGATTATACCGTAATAATCTATAAAAACCGTATAACAATTAACTACCTGGTGATGTTGCTTATGATTTTCAATTGTAAATATAATGCGACAGAAATACAAATAGAAGAAAAAATGTAATTATCTATTAATGAACGTATACTAGCGAACTGCATTGCCGGGGTTTTCATTTAATTGTATTATTTTTTTTTTTAAATATTTATGTCACATGACAAACTTTCATCTGAAATAGCTTATATTCTTTTTATTAATAAGCATAGATGATTTTATATAAATTCGTGGTTTTTAATGGATAAATAAACATTAACATACATATTAAAGTTAAAAGTCCTTTTATTGGTCGAACGTATATGAATAGATTTTGGATACGTACAAACATTTCTCTTAAATAATTATAATTTTTTTACGAACAATTTATTGTCGTATTCGAATAATTCGAATCATCACGCGAAAAATTTGACGTGATATTTATAAGTATATAATATATATGTACAGGGTGTCCCACGATGACCAGCCACTTGAAATAACTTTTGCTCTATTCAATACTTTTGGCATTTTTTTTTTTTTAAAATAATGAGTTTGTTTCTGCTCTATAGTTTTTATGTGAACAACAAAAAATTCAAAATAGCCATTTTATAAAATAAATTTTTAAAAAATTGTTGGTAGTTGAAACTTTTATTGTCTTTTATTTTCTATGATTTTTTGAAAAGTTGAACAATTTTCTTTTCAATCATAACAATATTATTCTTCAGTATAAATAACCATTATTGATTGATTAATATTACCTAATACCTATAATATATGATAATATAACTGCATTATATTAACTCACTTAAAAGAAAATTATTTTCATGTGCCCTGACTAAAACACGGATATTGTAGTAGTAAAAAACTATTGAAATTGATTGTAGTATTGCACTAAAAAATATTAAAAACTACACTAAAAACGAAAAATATTTGTACAAAAATAGAAATAGTTGGTTTAATGTTTGGCATATTTATAAAACACTAACAGAACACGATCACTCAAAATTCACGGAGTGACTGAAGAACAGATTATAGCAATCAAACAATCACATTTCACAAATTATTGATATACATGGGATTTTGATCTTCTTTAAAAAAATTATAGTAAAATTTTAATTTTTTTATTTTAAGTCTTCCTTCCCCTAAAAAAAAAAATGTTCATATATAAACTGTTGCGCAGAGGCATATTAATTATTAAAAAAATAAATACATCAAAATTATTGGATAAAACAAAAGTAATTTCAAGTGGCAGATCATCGTGGGACATTGTATATATATATACATATAATACCAGGTGATCCATTTAAGTGAGTACACTCATTATTTCGAAAAGAATTAAATATTTTCGGAATTTGTTTTCTAGAACATTTAAGAAACAAGCCGCTCTACAATTTTATATTTATATTATTTTTTGTCACCCTTATTTTCAGGAGTAAAACCATTACCTATTTTTGATTTTCAAATGGCAACGTATATTAAAAAGTTCATAAATAGATGGAGTTTTATTAGTTAAAATAAATTTTGGTATTGCAATTTTAGATTTCTGTCAAGTCGTTGACGAGATATTCCACTTTTAAGTTTGGGTTGGAGAAGAGTAGTAGAGTTATCATTTGTATGGCGGTATAACATGTGGAGTGTTAATAATGCACCACTACTCTCCTCCACCTCAAACTTAAAAGTGGAATATCTCGTCAATGAGTCAAAGAAAATTAAAAATTTCAACACTAAAATTTATTTTAACAAATACTACATCTATTAAAGGACTTTTTTTAATATAGGTTGCCATTTGAAAATTAAAAGTAGATAATGGTTTTACCCCCGAAAATGAGGGTGACAAAATATAATATAAATATGAAATTTTAGAGCAGCTTGTTTCTTAAATGTTCTAGAAAACAAATTCTGAATAAAATTAATAGTTTCCGAGATAATGAGTTTACCCATCTAAATGGATCACTCGGTATATGGATATGTGAAAATTAGTTTGAATCATATAGATACTTATTTTAAATGAGTTTCATATTTAATTATTGATTTAGGTTTTTTAGGTTTTGAGTGTATTTTTATTTGAGGGGTAAATTATAAAATTGAAAAGTGGGGACCTAAATTTTTAAATGGGTATTGCATAGTGACCGTACCTAGCTAATGGCACATACAATTTGGGAGACCCTACTTATTATATCATATTAGTACTATTATTATTATTATATTGCTAACCTTCCCTTATTAACGATCCCCGACGTGTGACCAAAATCTCCGTTATCCACGCACGTTATGCAGTGAAACGATTTACGTAATTTATGACACATTAAACATTTCATGGTTTGGTCGACCACTGACCAGGTGTCGTAGGACACCTCCGGATCAAGTACTTTTGGTTGAGTGAATCTGTTGTCCATTGAAGGCGATATCCAGCTGTTGTTGAGAATTGAAAACGGTTAACTCGGGACTGTAGTACTAGAAAACATGAAAACGAGTGTCTTCTTGTTTTCGTGTTCTACGTACTACATGCGAGCACTCACGCACACTTGTGGTGGTCCGTGGAACTACGCACTTATTATATATGTGTGTGGGTACGCGTGTACGCACACACACACGCACACACACGCACACATATGCACACACACACACACACTCATATTTTGATGGATAATAAGTTACAGACTTGGGTAAAATATTTTTAAAAAGTATTCAGAAAAAATATTCGAATACATTGAAAAACATAATTAAGAATAAATATCTATTCAAATAGTTTACAACAAAAGTATTTTCTAAAATGTTCTGAATACTTACTTATTTGCCGTAAAATTTACTTTACGAAAAATTGTTTAACCGACGGCAATTAATTACCGAAGTGAATATGTTTTCACATTTTAAAACATTAAAAAATACACATTAAGATTAGGTTTGGTTAGGTAATCATTTAAAAAATGTATTATATTTACCGTATAGCTATTAACTTTTATGATATAATTAATTAAGATTTTTTTTAAATGGGAAAGAAGGAATTTAGATGAACTGAATCAACAATTAGATTTAACTATTGGTTTCATTGGAACTTTTAATAAACACCAAGATTTGCTTTGACAACATCAACCATTTATATTGAATGGTTCTGATTATAACAGATCGCTTTATATTTGAAACCATGCATCTTCTCTGATTTTTGTAAGTTGATAGTGAACGTGAATAATTGGAATTATTGAATATATTTCTATCACCATTACATCTTAAGACATTTTTAATACATAAAAATGTACAATAATACACTTATTTTAATGAATCAAATAGGTATAAGAGGTAAAATTTTAAAAAATCAAACAATTAAAAACATATAAATAGTACAATTTAATCTATGAAAGATGAAAGGTAATACCGACATCATAGAATAATGGGGATAGGTGCAGCCACTGTTCAAAATAATTTAATGTTTACCCGTAAGCAACGATAAACCATTGCTTACGAAAAAATGTTTCTGAGTGGAGTTCAGTTGATAATGATGCTTTATCAACAAAATATGCCATTTTATGGTAAAATAATTAAATAGGCTTTATATATTTTCTTTAATAATATTTATTTAATGTTGTACCAGTTTCTATTAAAATATATAATATTTGAATCTCCTACATTGTGACTTATGGTGTGTGTTTTCAGTTGGATACCACCCGAATTTAAATTCCTGCGGGCTTCAAATTTTTCGGAGACATTTGAACCGGAATACGAGTCGTTTGACGCCAATGGTCAGATACCGTGTGGCATGAATGACTTGGAATCGATTATCGTCGACGAAGACATGGCTGTGTTAGACAATGGGCAGCTGCAGATCATGTATCAAAAGGATAAAGGATTAAATGACATTTACCAGCAACTGACGTTCTCTCCCACCGAATATTGCATTGACCGTGTGTCGCTGTCCGAAAACTTTACGTTCACCGACAAGAAGAAGAACAGACGCAGCGTGGCCGCTACGGTCAACACCAACGGTATGACAACCAACGGGACAGTCGGCGTAGCAAAGGAGACCGACGATGCTGTCAATACGATGGCTGCGATATTTATGTACTCATACGTGGCGCTGGTGTGCAGGCTGTGCTCAAAGATTACGTGTGTGCCAAAGTGTTGTGGTAAGAGTTTCGTGCTCGAGTACAGGAAGAACAGAGAAAGCATCACGGGATGCCGGAAGTTGCAGAATAACGTCAAAGCCGCTATAAATCTAAAAGCCGCCAACGGAACGGAATTGAACCGTAAGTGTTTGGTTTCTAAATATGACTGTGTATTTTACCCAAAAACAGTTCACAAAGCACATTAAATTCCCATCCCGAAAAATGAACAGCTCAAAATGCACTTAAAATTCCAAAAAACGGGCACCGAAAATATAAATCATAGAAATATTTATAATGTTTAAAATCGTTTCAAATTAAGCCATACAAAAAAATGTATCAATATAAATTACAACTTAATATATCATATAAAAATAAATCCGAAATAATTCAAAGTATATAATAAAATGTGTTTAAAAAAGAAAAAATATCAAAATAAAAGTAAACGAACAGAGTTCAATATTACATAATTCGTATTTTTTGATTTCTCCAGAAATTTTCCTAATAAATAGAAAAAACAGAGGAATAACGAGAAAATATACGTAAAAAATTAACGCAAATTAATAATAATATTTTATCATGTCAATTAATATTACATTGAAATGTTCCGAACGTTTTTATTTATATATAATTTACTAATTTAAAAAAAAAAATTGTTATCTTAATTCTTTAGAAGTTCAATAAGTTTATTGATCCATAGCTGTACTACTAATTAGAAAAAAAAATTAATCTGAGTAAAGTTGAACCTGTTTTGAAATGCCGTGATTTGTACGATTTAACTTATTTCGCCTGTAAACTATAACCATGAAGCTCGAAATTTTTTACCATTATGCACATTGTTATAAATTATGTTGAATCTCGTGTTAACGTTTTGAATAGTTTTACTGCACAAAAATAATTGTATCACACATAAAACCAAAAGAAATCTAAAAAAACTTCAACAATTTCAAATGGCTATCAAATAAATCAAAAATAGCTAGATTGTGTTTAAAATTATACCACCTACAGAAATGACAAAAATGACGGCAAATAACGGTTTCAATAATTTCTATAGTAATCTAAGTTATTATATAGTAGTTATCTTACAGCCGTAAGCAATCTAATTTATTATTTATATCTGTGATATATATCAGATAATCGGTGGGGAATAAAAGTGACGGTCTGGCCGATAACAAAATTCAAAGATATGATGTAAAGAAATATAGTTGTCTTTCCTGCGTGATTATCTATGTGACGGCAAACTCGTGCCTCAAATTCGGAAAAAAAAATTTGGTTTATTTTCGTTTTTTTTTCTTTTCGTTTTTTTCCTGCTACAATGCGTTCATAGCTTTTCGAAAACGATAAATTTCGCTATAATGGCATAGTTAGTCGAGTCCAGTCTACCAGAAAAAAAAAATGAGTTTCCCTAACCTACTCGGATTTATAAAATTTGATTTTTGTCAAATGAAGTAAAATTCCCGATCTCGCTATCTTTAAGAAAATAAAAATATCAAATGGTCTCAAATTTTGATTACAAAGTAACATTCATCTTAAGATCTTTCAAATCGAAGTGTGCACAAAATTAACATCAAGCTATATGATATAACGTAATTTAACATAATAATATAATAACATATTAATATAATAACATAGTAATATAATATAACATTGTTGAGGTGGTCGGTCGTCAACGTGCAACGGTTTGAGAATACAGCTGTTTTCAGGTTAATAATCTGGTCAACAATTCGGCAACTGTTCACAATGCGTCCCTACAGTGTAGAGTTAACACGACGTTGGCGATGGTGGGGGCGGTGGTGGTGGTGATCGTGCAGTCGTCGGTCGATAATATAAAACGATTTATTTTTCTCCCCCGATACGATCGAACGCATGTTTGTCGGCATATATCGAAGGGACGAGAAATACAAAAGACAGAAATAATGCGACGTTGCTATTGACAAAATAATAACGACGCATTAACGATAAAATCAATGCCGAAAAAAAAACCGTGCGCTGTTAGTTTCGGCATTATTGTATTCTTAGTGTATTGTGTATACCATATAGATGTATTTTGGTGAAAAGGACGGTTGTCGTGTATTGGTTAAAAATACATATATAGGTATAATCGCATTTTACGATGCGCGGCTGTTTTACGCTGTAACGTTATACCATAAACTGTACAAAAAAAAAAAAAAGAAAAACTATTGAAATTTAGAAACTTATAACGTAATATAGAGAATGATAATCGAAAAAATAAAATATCACAAAATCCGAAAAATATAAATATAAATAAAATTTATAATTTTTCAATCGAGAACTGTAAATTTAAATTTGAGTTAAAAGTTAAGTAAAACTATTGTTAATTGAAATATTGTAATATTATTAATTATTTAATTATTATGAATAATAACAATAATATTATTAACTATATATTTCTAACCTTTAATGTTATTAATCGGGTATTTTTTTTTTTTTTTTATGTAAAGCATTTAAACGAGTTTTTTGTTTACTAAGTTTCGTTAATAGCGACGTGCGACGATTCGTTTGCAAATTAATAATTTTTTTTTTTTTTATTTCGGACATTGATAAGTTTTTCTGTTATAATTTCTCACTCGCTCACTGATTGCTGATTTCTCACTGATGCTTTCTGCAGCTGTAATATTAATAACGAATTGTGCACAGGCCAGGATTATTATTTCACCGGCATGAAGCCGCCGGACTGCGGTTCCCGGAGTTGGTACATGCTGAACAAGACCGGTCCGGATGCTATCGGTTACGGGTTGTTACCGGACGGCCGAATGCACGTGGACAACGGCGTGGTGCCCATCGAGCGAGACGAGTATTGCGTGGACGCCGTAAACGTGGTGCAGCCCGCAGGCAATGCGACGCCGGCCCGACCGCCATCCGTGTACTCTGACGTATTGGTCGTGTGCCGTGTAAACATCGCGTCCAATATCACCGGCGGATCGCTTGAGTTTCGCGAAATATTGTACGGCGCATACTTCGTGGTGGGCGCCTTGTTCCTGGCCGCCACGCTGCTTATATACGTCGTGCTTCCCGAGCTTCGAGTCACCGTTCACTCGGGCAATCTAATTGCGCACACCGCGTGCCTGTTTGTGTCGTACGCCACCCTGGCCGCCACCACACTCGTTCGTGACGTGTTCAATTACTACGCCTGCGTCGTCGCCGGTAATTGTTGTGAAATAAATAATATTATCTTACGGTAATATAATATAGATAAGCGAAATTACAGTTTTTCTCTAGAAGGAACCAAACTTATATCGAAAACTGAATCGGATAGTTATTTAATAATTTTGAATTTGGAGCGTAAAGAGGGACCTATTGGTTTTACTATTATGTGTGATTTTTTTTTTTCTATCCATAAACAACTTTATAAAAATTAATCTTGTTTCAGTGTATCAGAGTAAAGTACCTTTTTCAAAAGAAGTTTTGTCTAATTGGTGCATTAAAACGTCATTTTTTGATTTTCCAAGTGGTTTTTCAAAACAATTAAAAAAAATCCGAAAGAATATTATAGATGAAACAGCAAATATTTACGGCACACCACTGCGTGTCCGATTTAATAGTTTTTAATTTTTGCAACCTCATGTTTTCTATTAAAAAATATTGCTCCAATAGATAAACGACAACAGATCTTTTTTGTTGCAATTTTAATCTTATTCGTGAGTGAGTTTTTTGTTTTTTGATTTTCTCATCAAATGAGAAAAACTAGAAAAAAAATTGAAGTAAAACGAAAAAATGTTCGTAATTTATAAGTAAAATATTACGGTCTTTTTTTTCAATGGACAACTTTTCTACCAGCAATTAGATTCTAATTTTATATGATAGCACATTTTCTAAAAGGAAATCTGACTGGGGAGATACTCTTTAGGGAAGTCGTTTTTCGATTTTCCTAGCTGTTCTTTCATAATAAATGGAAAAAAGTAGGAAAAACGGGAAAATGGGAACAATATTAAACAAATATTATTAAAGAAATGATGTAGTTATTTTACCATAATATAACATATATACTAGGTGTGGCTATTAAACAACGAGACTACTCGCCTAGAGAGCGCCCTAGATGGGTAGTGAAAAAAAAGAGTAATGCGTTGGATATCTAGATATCTTATCTATGCACGTACCAAAACACGTTTTCGTCACTGTTATAGTATTTGTGCAGTAGTGGTTTAAAACGAACGTGTTTTTTTCTCGTGCCGAAAACCATGTGTGACGAAAAACATGAGCAACGGATAAACGTAAAATTTTCTCGTTAAACTAAAAAAAACTCCAACTGAGTGCTATAAGTTGTTAAAAGAGTCCTATAGTGAGGATTTCCTATCTCGGACGCGTGTTTTTGAGTGACATAAATTATTTTCTGAAGGTCGAGAATGCACCGGAATCCAATTCAGTCGTAATCCAAATTCAAAACCGTTTTCTTCGATATCAACGGCATNAGTACTCGAACACGCGTCTTACTCACCCGACTTGGCACCCTGCGACTTTTACTTGTTTCCGAAGATAAAGTCTGCCTTAAAAGGAATCCGGTTTGAGTCGATGGAAGAGGTGAAACAAAAATCGGTGGAATTCCTGAATGGTCTTACGAAAACAGACTTCCAGCACTGCCTTGAGCAATGGAAGAAACGAATGAAACGGTGTGTGAAGAGGGGAGGAGAGTATATTGAAGGGGAACATGTGGTTGTAGAATAATTTTTAAAATAAAACCATTTTTCATAAGCAGTTTCGTTATTTAATAGCCACACCTCGTATTGTTGACAAAGGAACATTATTAACTGAACTCCGCTCAGAATCGTCTTTTCATCGACCGTGCAGGCTTCTATTTATCTAACTATTATATAACGATTCGTTTTTTTTTTTTAGTTGTATAATTATAAATGTATAACATTAAAATAAAAATAGCTGTTATCAAAGTAGTTTTTTAAATTAGGCATTTTTTTTCTTTAATTTATTATTTCTAATCTCCATGTATATTATTTATTATTATAAAATTGTTATTTACACCGAATCGTAATTAGTATACGAATTTTATTAGAAACTATGGCTTTTGTAATCAAGAGTTTAATTAAGTTCAACTATTAATTTTTTTTTTATCGTGGATGGTAGAAAATTAACATACTTTTATTAAATTGCTTATGAGCTTATATAGACATTTTTTTAAATGATTCTCTTATTTTAATCAGGTAAATATATTTGATGAATATTTAGTTATTGTTATTTATTTCAACACTCTTTTATTATTATTATTTTTTTTATAATATCATATATTATATCTAAATCTTTTCAACAAAAATAAGTAAAACAAACCCACCATTAGCTATAACATAAGAATAATGTTACCAATGCATTTATCAGAGTCTAAATAATATACTCGAAGTACCTTAATAAAAACATAGATAATTTGTATAACTACTGGATTTTCTGGCTTTTAAGTATAAGTTATTCAGTATACCATATTATCATTTTTAGATTCCGAGCGTAGTGAGAAAGCTATGTTTATTTTTTTTTCTTTTAGTCTGTGGACACGTTTCTTCCAAGTAAACTTGCTCCAATGTATAAGTGTAACACTTTTTTAGAAAGTTCAAGTTGTCTTGATTTTTATTTTTTGATTTTCAACGCCTTTTTAAAAATAAAATCACTTAGGTGGGAAAGAATATAGGAAAATGTACAATTTCACAATTTCATTTCAACGTGGACCACCTTTTCTACTAGAAAAAATGATTTAATCGAAAAATCACAAGATACACTTTTTGTTTTTTTTTTTTGATTTAATTTCTTAAAACTTTTGAGTTTTTAAGGAATATTTTAATTTTTAGACGTGGTTTTTTTTTTTGCTGTAATTCGGTTATAAATACATGTAGAGACTTAAAACTTGGTAGTAATACTTATATTAGAATTATCTAGACGTGGTAAAATTTCCAAAATCATTTAACGATTTTTTTTTGTTAATAAGCGTTTTGAAATCAAATTTAAATGAAAATCACAAAAATTATGTATTACCGAACTGTGCTTATAATCATCTTTCGTCAAGCAATGGTTTATCGTTGCTTACAGTTATAAATTAAATAACCTTATTTATCTTACCTTCCCAACTTTTCACCTACAACAGTGGCTACTCCCATCCTCAGTATCAGCTCTTTTTATTATTGAATTTATGAACTAATTACCGTTTTTTTTCAATCTTTGAAGATATGCAATAGGGTATTAGGTCACATAGGTTATTTATATTCCACATTATTTACGATTGGACCAAACGAAATTCTAGTTAAATTAAAGTTTTCATAAATTATTTACCAATTTTGGGATTAATATTATAATATTATAATATGTTGGCTCAAAAAATAGTTAATGCAGATAATACCAAAACAAGAAAAAAAAAGAGCTAATACTGGGACGGGTGTGGCTACTGTTGCAGGTGAGTAGCTGAGAAAGTAGAATATACAAATATATTTAAATTTATTTAAATTATACCTATAACCAATGATAAATCATTGCTAACGAAACACGATTCAGAGCGTAGTTCGATTGTATATGCTTTTGAGAGGCTGTTATATTTACAATATTCGATAAAATTTGATTTAAAACACTTATAAAAAAAAAAAAAAAAAAAACTATATACTACTGTTAAGTCTAACAATTTTATCAACCGAGTACCTATCAAATAAAAATTATGTAAAAAATTCACAAAGTTTAAATTTCTATAAATAGTTCAAATAAAACTCAAATGTTTTGAAAATTTTACCACGCATAGAAAAAGCAAATATAAGATTTGTGTCATTAATTTCGTAAATTTTCCCGTTGTCACTACAGTTATACTCAATTATTAAAAAAAAAAAGACTTTCTTACTCATCAACTAGATTAAAAATTTAACAAAAAAAGTGTCTTATAGTTTTTTCTTTTGGAGCAATATTTATGAGTTTTGAGGGACTAACCTCTTCAAATTCTTTTATTTACATCAACGTTATTATATTTTGTTTGTTTAGGTTTCGTCATTCAATTTTCATTTCTCGCCGCGTTTTTCTGGCTTAACGTCATGTGTGCAGATATCGCATGGACATTCAGGTCAGTATAAATGATATACCGAAAAAAACTGTAATCCTAATATATTAATCATTGAATTATTATATAATTGCACATTTCAGTGGATTTCGGTTACTTTTATACTCCAATAAAATCGAGAACGAGAAGAAGAAATATATAATTTACTCGGCGTACGCTTGGGGTTGTAGTATCGGGATCAGTTTACTCACTGCTCTCGCCGAATTTACCAAGTTATTCGGCGACCGGAAGTACAAACCGACATTCGGCCAGAAAGATTGTTGGTTTTCTAGTGAGTAATTATTTTTCGTAATGTAACTAAAACAAATTATAGTAGAATTGCGGTGTGATTTTTGTTTGTTTGTTTCATTTACAAATGCGAATACAATAAATTATGTATGTGTATATTTTGAAACAATATATCATGATATTTCGTGGGTGGTCATGAAAAAGGCATTAAGTTACTGTTCATAAATTATGAAAAATTAGTTTTTACACCAAAAAAAAAAAAGACAAAAATCAACGTTTTTCGTGTAACATAATATATTAAGTCAATTTTTCCAATATTGAACGTGTTATTTCAATGTGCGTTTTAGATAAGTTATTATTATGTGTTTTACGTTATGTGGTATGCTGCCATGATTATAATGCATCTTTCAAATGCGCAGAGTAAACAATTTTGAAACATTGACTTAACACCTTTCTCACAGGCCTCCCTTATTTTAATCGATTCCTTTTTTTTCTGCTAGATAAATTATCAGTCGGCGTATTTTTTTATCTACCCATTGGGTTACTTCTGTTGACCAACTTTATACTGTTCCTGTTCACCGCCTTTAGAATAGTTTTCATCCGGAGAGACACGTCCAAAGTATTGAATCGCCAGACCAATCAAAATAACATGAGGTAAGTTTAAACATTTTTAACACATTATTTAATTTAATTCTTATTAAAGTATAGGTTATATACTTACCACGGTCGGTCGGAATTTTTTTATAGATCAATAAATATTTATTTATTTGTATAGTTTTTATATCTTGCAGGTACTGGTATATGTGTATATCGAATACGGATTTAAGGCGCATCTAGTTAAATATATTATTTAAGAATATCATACTTAAAATTATGATAACAGTCGTATTAAAATAAATGGGAGCGGCCTGTTTCGCCCAAAATTAACCTTCCTCGTTTCGCCCAGATATCTGTTTTGACCAAAGCCAATTTAGTTGTTTTAAAATTAAGTCGGCTATGATTTTTAAATAATCTAATTTGTATAATATATCATGTATATATTATTAACCAAAAAAGAAACCGCCAAAGTATCCTATCGCTTTACTCAAGTTTTAATGGTTGAATGTCCAACTGACGAAAAATTACTTAAATATTGTGATTATTTAGTGGACAACTATATTTCTGAGGATAGTGTTCTTAGTCCAACATTATGAGCATGCAATTCAGCAAGCATACAGCTCATAACAAATGCGTGTGAATCGAAAAACAGTCGTCCGAATAACGATAAATATCGAATAGGTTAGATACTTAACTATGCGTACTTTTTTGTTATGGAATTCGTTAAAATGTATATTATAATGGGTTCTTCGGCTATTAAATTGTACCGACCCTCAGTGCATCGATAAATGTGTTTTCACGGTTGCATCGGCGCCACTATATTGTCCGTCTATGATGAATTTTATAAAATACATATAAACCAACAAGTGTAAAAAAAAAAAAAAAATACCTATATTTGTGATAATATTACTGTAGTAAGATTTATTGTTCGGTATTTTAAGACAGATAAGTCTCATATACAGACAGTTAATAAATATAATAATATGGATTGATATTTACACATGTTTTGAACAGGAAATCCACGTGGGTACCTATTTAATTTAAACTACAAGTTTTTATGTATTGGGTTTACTATGATGTGGCGATATGTGCGATTATTATTATTATTTTTATTTTTTATGATTAGATGGTCTTAATTGAAATTGGCAAAGTCCACATGTCACGCTTGATTACTTCTATATATACTGCCTATCCTGGACGAAAAATCCGGGGACAAAAGGTCTAAGGAAAAAAAATTAGACAACAAGTCCGAGCTCATTTTTTCTATTGATGGACAAAAAGTCCGAGCACATTTTTACATTCTATAATAATAATAATATTAATAATTTAAAACAATTAAATTTTAAAAAATAGTCAATAATGTGCTGATAATGGGCATCGCGAGCGGCCACTGTTGTAGGTGAGAAGTTGAGAAGGTAGATACACAAGGTTATTTCATTTATATCTGTAGGCAAGAATAAACCATTGTTTGACGAAAGACGATTCTGAGCGCAGTTCGGTAATACATAATTTAAAGTGCCGTATTTTTTGTTGCGATTTTCGTATAAATTTGATTTCAAAACGCCTTTAAAAAAAAAAAGTTATTCAATGATTTTGGAAATTTCAGATACTATAAATTATAAGTTAACAGTCCAATGTTAAATTTTAAATGTTACAATACAATATTATTAATTTTAGCAACGTATTAAGTTTTAAATTGTTATAACTATTATTACTAATTAAAAATTAAAAATATTTAAAATGAGTCTTAATTGTTTTCTATAAATAAAAGTAAAACAATTTAAAGATTTTACTTTTAAAACTAACTGTTTAAATTTACGCCCATTCCCACCAAACACCTTTCAAAATTGAATTTTTTGTTACTTTCGTATATTCTCTCATCCACCCAAAAATAAATCCTAGTTGCACCAATGATAACTGATAACAAATAAATGCAATTTTACAGTCGTGTAATAAATTCAAATAATATGATAATATACCTATTATTATTACTAGACGTTTTCATATACTCTTTATATAACAGATAACAAACTAGATTTCAACATTTAGCGGGATGCGCATTGAATAATCGGTACTGCCCCACCTATATCGAGACGTCTGTTCACACTATGTATTAGTATATTCATTTATTTTAAGTACCTAATGGATTTTTTTTAACGTGAGGAAATCGTCGTTTAGAATATCTCGATATTTCGTTGTCATCTACGTATTAAAAGTAAAGATAATCACCAAATGAAAATATTATCAAAAACATTAAAACAACAACAATTATTTTAAATGTTACGACATACTAGTGACATAACACGTGAGATATTGCTTTTCTCGTGTATAATGTCTATATACCTATAAACATTTTTGAAGTTGACATACAAGAAACACAAAGATCAAATATTAACAATTAACAGTGGCGTACATTCTGTTTAAGTATCTATTAAAATGCGATAAGTTTTAGAAGACGAAATAGTTTTTATGACGTCAATCGCGAACATTATGGAATTTAATACTGATGGGTACTAATAATCAAAAAGTAAACTCGTGAGAGAGCAACACATTTATCGGGTCATTATCGAATAATACCTATAGGTACTTAGGTAAGTACAAGTCCGAAACAACGATTATACTAATAAGAACACGAATGCATATTATTTGAATGCCCTACAAACTATAAAAAAAAATCTCTCTAAGTTCTACAGTCCAAAAAATAATCCAAACATGTCTTTCTATCGCAATAATGCCTTTGAAAAAAACGTAAAAATACAAACTAAAGTCCCACTATAGGTACTACATAATATCTATCTAAATATGTACATATATAAGCGTAAAATAAGAATCTTTGTTGCCAAATTGACTCAATCGATAGTTGAGTTTTTTCTTTTTTTTCTAAATGAAAGAGCACACTGCAAGGAAGGTTTTAAGCATAATTTTAAGTCTCTAAGTTAACAAACAAACGAGCTATTAATTTTATAAATAATCGTCAAATATGCTAGAACTGTGCCGCTATTTAAATATTTTAAAAGTACAGCACATTGGCATTTACGGTATATTTCTGCTTATAAAACATGACCATGATATTTTTGCATAGTTTTATTAAATTTTAGAATCTGAGCGATACGAGGAATGCATAGTTTTTACAGTATTTAAATATTTTAGATTCTGAGTGCAGCGAATTTACAGTTTTACAGTTATAATTATTTTTATTTATTTTTTTTATCTGTAAGCAACGATAAACCATTGCCATCGAAAAAACTATTCTGATAGTGATGCTTTGTCAACAATATATGTATGTCATATTTTGGTAAAATAATTAAATGGGCATTATATATTATTTTTAATTATATTTGTTTAATATTGTATCTATTTTCCCGTTTTCCTGCGTTTTTCCAGGTTTTCCAATATTTTTTCCCGGATTATCACATTTGCTAAAAAAACTCTTGAAAATTCGAAAAATGACCTCCCTAAAATACCGTCTTAGTCAGATTTACTTCCAGTAAAAGCGCTATCATTGTAAATCTGAGCGAAATCGCTAGTAGAAAAGTTGTACACAGAAAAAAATGGCCATAATATTTATTTACTAATTCCTATATTTTGTACATTTTCCGTTTTTCTGACATTTTATCTCGGTTTTTTCCAGTTAATATTAAAACCAGTTGAAAAATCACAAAAATAACCTCCCTAAAGCTACACTTGATACATGGAGTATGATTTCTGGTAGAAAAGTTTGTACAACAAATCAATGGGTATTTTTCAAATAAAATCGCCCGAGCGAGCGATAGTTAGTTCTTCAGGTACACTTAAAACGTTTTTTCCCTATTTAGGTAAAAGGGGAAAAAAAGTGTAAAAAATGTCTCTTCCAACAACGAGTTACTCAAACAATTTTCATCAAAATGTAGTATCAAAATTTCTTTACAAAAACAAATATAACATTAAACACAATTTTTTTTTTTACCACAAGTAAGTCTTACAATTTTACCACAGAGCACCTACTGAATAAAAAGTATATACAAAATTCGCAAAATTAAAATGTCTATAAATAGCTCAAAAATGGCATTTTTTTTTTAAATTGTACCACCTCTAGAAAAGCACAAATAAGTTTTCTGTCAAAATCTCAGATTTCTACGAATATTTTTGAACGAATTACAACAAATAACAAAATTTATAAAATTATAAAAGCATTCATTTCGTACATTTTCCGTTTTTCTTATGTTTTAAGCTGGTTTTTCTATATATTAAGTTAACCGCTTGAAAAATCAAAAAATGACCTACAAAAAGTACCATCTGGACAACATTCCCTTTCAGAAATGGTGCCTTTATCGTTTATAGCAAATACCTTTGGCACTAAGATGAAAATGACAGAGGCATAGTTATCTCGAAATAACTTTTATGAGTACACTAAACTCATACTTTAATATAATTTAATTATAATTAAAATAACTAATTAAATAATTTCTTTATTATTTTAATTAAAATACATTTTACGAGTGAAAGACGGACGAAGACAATTTTAGTGGTACTAGTAATCGAACTTTTTAAATATTCACACCATCTAAAACCAACAAAAATATATTTCTAGTGTAACGTATACAATTGTTTCAATGTATCCAAATGTATAAATAATTGAATGAATGAATTTTATTAATTTATCATTCCAATCTATATTATAGAGTACAGAGAGACTTACAAATAATATTCACAAGTATTTGAAGTAGTATACCTTATTTATATTTTAAATTGTAGATTTGAAGACGATCGGACAACACAAACGGAAGGCAAAAAAAAAAAAAACCAGGTTTTCAAAAAAAAAACGTTGTCACTACAAATCGCTGGCGCGGCACTGTGAAGCCCTTTATTGTCCTCGTTGTACGTTAAATATTTAATAATTTATGATTTTTCAAAAGGAATCCGACGTTTTTATAACCATGAAAGGTTGGAGGGAAAAGATGCCGCCTTCGACAACGTATATATTATATATATTATGCTTCCCGCTGAGCTGGTGACCCGTCCAATTACTATCGAAAACGTGTCCCTATGCGGCGTAATATATTACTGTGTATCCACCCTCTTCTATTAATTTCGTGGAATTCACAAATTCTTCGGGGGGGGTTCCTTATCGTTTAATATCTTTTGAAATTAAACATAATATGTGCGCATCATGTGTGTTAGCGTCGTTCGAGTCAAGGCAGTAATAATATAGTAGGTGCCCGCTAAACAGTCGTTGGGCATCGAGACTTTATAACAAAGTTATCTGAGGGCCAACGAACACAAAGAATCTATTCAGTTAGTTCTAAATTAAATGTAGAATTAACTTTATTGAAATGATAACACAACATATTTTTCAGTTTCTCACTATTTTTTCTTTTCATATACATTTTGTTATGCGTTATCTATTACTTCATTAAAAATGTTAGTTAAACATTTGTACAACACGAAAAATGTACTTTAGTAGATAGGCATGAGCAATTATGATAAAACAATTTTTGTTTGCAATTGTGATAGTGACCGAATTATCATTAAAAATAGGAATTCTATATTATAGAGCTACAGCAACGGTAAATATATTATTCAGGAAAGTTTATGCAACAATGCTTAACTTTATGGACTTATTTTATCGAATTACCTTTTATCCAATTTGTTTAAAAGTAGGTAACTTAAATGATTAGTTATATAATACATTGTATTGTTCAAATTTGCTTATTAGGTCAATTTGACCTTTAACACTTGACAGTGTCACGTATTTATAACTTAATATTAAACAAATATGTTTTTGTGTCTATACACAGGTTATCGCTGTACTTAAAGTTGTTCTGTCTGATGGGCGTCACATTCGTGTTCGAAGTGATCTCGTGGGCTGTGACAGCGCCCCCTTACTATTGGTACGTGACGGATGCGGTAAACTCACTCCGCGGCGTGTTTGTGTTCTTCATATTCTGCTGGAAACGATCTGTGCTCAATTTGTTGCTAGCCCGGACGCCTAAATCGACGCGTGACCGGTTCGTCCAGGCGTTCGGTATTCGTGTGACACACCGATACCCGAGCTTCTCGTCAGGGGGCCAGCTCAATACTCATTTTAGCGGTAGTGGAACCACTGCAAGTATGAGAACACTCGGGTCGATGGTGTCTACGCATAACGTCTTAGGTGGCAGTGGCAGCGGTGGCGGCAGCAGCACCACTTCATTTCAGCTTTCGCAATTCGGTAGTAACACATCGATGGTCGCATTAAGAAAATTGTCATCACCACGTTGGTGAATATAAATGACATTCTGGTCTAACCCCCCCCCCGCCCCTCTAAACACACGCATATAACGAGTACTGTTTACCTGTCGACCAGCAGCTGCAGCGCGTCATTAAATAACCATCTGCCACCTAACTTCTTACCAAAAATCACACAGACCGTCGATAACGTCCCTTTGTGTCGGTTAGGGTCGATCCTAAACCATCTACAACGAGGAAAAAAATTAAATTCGTGCCACACATATTAAATAACGTTTATATACTTATATAATAATAGCCGTTTTAATTTCTAGAAAATAGGCGAGAAAACAATCAATAATTAATAGATAAGTAAAGCACTATTGTGATGATTGTAATTCCATGAATGTAAGTCAACGCACACTCGTACCTATATCCATTATCCTTGACAGCTCTGCGAGCACTGTCGTCACAATGTCCCCTGGCGTGCAATTCGTTTCTATACAAGACCCGTATCATGTTAAAACCTAAGATAAGAATACAATTATATCATATTCGGTATAATATTAGTAATATTAGTAATATTATACAGGAATTCAGGAAAAGTAATATGTGTATTAAACTATTATTTTATTTTGTTCCAACAAAAAAATTCAAAATACCTACTTTTATACATTGTTATATAATACATAGACGAGATAATTATTTTATTAAAAATTTAATAACAATTTAGCTTATAAATCAATTTTTATTAATGGTGTTGTATACCTTGAAATGTGAATAGGTAAAGATATGATACGAAAC